TCAGGACAGGGGGAGGAGGACCTCCTTTTGGGGAAGAAAGAGGGGTCTATTCATCCCTGACGGGATGAAGACTCTCTCACCTCCTTATGAAAGGAACTGACCCGGCGCGGAGCAATGAACTTCGATTGATGGGCCAACTAGCTGATGCATCACCCCAGAAGAGCGTGGAGATCTGCGAGGAAGAACTTGTTGCATTGGAGCAGGAATGCAAAAAGAAGATCGCGCAAGTGCAACAAGAGGTGCGTTTTTCTAGCACACTATTCATTGCAATAATCTACTCACAAACTTTACTGTAGAAATCTTTCATTCAGCAAGAGAAAAACTCGGACGAGCAGAATTTCATCCAAGCGTTGGAAATGAAGGACAACCAAGTACGCGCACTGAAGGCTGATTTGGACGCTCTGATAGAGGCAAAAGCGCAATACACAGACGAAATCACTTCATTGAAGGCTGAACTAGCCAAGGCGGTGGAGTCGAAGGATACTCTGTGGACTTCCGCAGCTTCGGCTAGTAACGAGTCAGAGCAGCTGATTGGATCGCTCCGTGCGGAGTTGCAAGATACGCTGACGGCTATGAACAACGTGAAACGCGAATACGCAGAGTCGAAGAACACCATGTTTGCACGTCAGTCGCAGCTGGAGAGCACCAACACGGAGCTTGTAAATAATGTGGCAAATTTGGAACGTGAGTTGGCAAAGGCAAAAGAAGCGGTCGCTGTTGCTTCTCAGACCAACGGAGTCAGCGCAAATGCTACCTCTCATTTTGGTGCAAACTCCAATTTTGCACCAATGAATGATGACTACCGACGGGTGCAACAAACATTGGTGCTTACGAAAAAGTCGTTGCATGACGAATCAAGAAAGAATGATGTTCAAAAGCAAGAGATCATCACTCTGACTGAAGAGTTGCGTCGACTGAAAAAAGCTATTGAGACCACACAAGAAAACTTTTTCACGGCAACTGGAAGCGACGACTCAGGAGGACAAAGAGACTGACAGACCAGGGTGAACCAGTTATCGTCTCACAGTAGTGCCACAGCGGCTGCCAACGGCGAGTTGCGTATCCAACGCCTGACAAGCCGATTGATTGAGAAACAAGAGACCATTGACTCGTTGCGTACCCGTGTGACGACGATGGACGTACGTCTTCAAGATGTAACGCTGCAAGCACAGCGGGCCGAAGAGAAACTTTCTCGAATGGAGCAAAATGGCGGTGTCGACGACATGGAAATGGCTACTCCAGTCGGAAAGATGGGCAAGGGCGGCATGCGCTCTCGACCGAACCGCATGGCCCACGTAAGTTTCTCCGCAACAAGAGGTTGTTTCGTCTCCGAGCTCTCCAGACTCGCATGGTCTGCTACAACGTCAGCATCGGACGGAGCTGGTGGCAGCAGAAACGGAGCACGGAAGAAATCTTCGAACGAAATTCTTCTGCGTGGGTCTACTCGCAACAACGCTTCCACCAGCTGCTCGCACTCGGGGGAGACCTTGACGTTCTTCGGCACTCGAACGTGGCCGTAGCGCTCAAAATAGCGGTATATATTGCGTCGCAGTGCGAGGTGGTTGGTGGCGTGGACCTTGTCGACCACGAGGAACGGGTGCTCGTTCGCCAGCATCTCGTACAGGATGATACCAACCGACCACAAGTCCGCTTTGGCGTCGTAGCTTTTGTACTCCAACAGCTCCGGTGCCATGTAGAGCGGCGACCCCACGACACTCTCAGCCATCATCTCTGACTCCAACTCTCGCGCAAACCCGAAATCCGCTACAAAATGTCAGCAATACCACAATAATCAGCAAGCGAGCACAGCAGTTGGCAGTAGAATAATCAAAAGTTCCCACCAATTTTCAACTTGGCCGTCGCCATATTCCGCGAGGACAGCAACAAATTGGCAGGCTTCAGATCACGGTGCACCACGTTCTGCGAGCGGAGAAACTGCAGCCCAGACGCTGCCACACCATCGCATTAAACGTCATGTACAGCTACAAAGACTCTCAGCGTTCAAGCACTCACCCAACTGTGACATATAAAGTCTGGCCTGCTCTTCTGTTAAGCCATTGCTGGTCTTCATCAGCTGCGCAATATCTCCGCCAGCACAATATTCCTGTCAAATAACAATAAGTCAGCATAATTTTTGTATCTTCCCTCTACTCCAGACTGACCTGAACGATGAAGATGTGCTGCTGCGACTCCTTGGTGCACAGAAGGCGTACAATATGCGGGTGACCATTCTCGAACTGCTCCACGGCAACCCGCATCGTCTCAATCTCCTTCTCGATGCTCTGACGCTCGTGTGGCCGTCGCAATTTGTCCTTACCGATCATCTTGACAGCCACAGCTGCCCCTGACGACAAATTGATGGCCTTGTGCACCTAAAATGACGATCAGAGTGTGGAAGTTAGCGAAACTTTGGCATTTTATATCGCGCGGTCGTACGGTGCCGTAGGAGCCGCGGCCGATCGTTTCTACCAGGCTGCACGAAGACGAGAACGAATCATTGCATTTTTAGCCTAACTATCCACAACTTGCCGCGCGATTTCGAGGGGGTTATGAAACAAATGCACCACATACCGGAAAACGTTGCCGCACACGGTGATTGTCTGCCCGGTGGCACTGCTCATGCTGCTCGCTGAGTCCTCGTCTCTCCGAGCGGGTCTGTTTTCTCGTTCAAATGCCAAAAACTATTCGGTATGAAGGTTTATGATAAAAGACCTACTTTTAATCTGTAAAGAAGGAATTCTGGTACTGTACACAAACGTTTAATTGACGTTGAAGGATGGCTACACTGCTTCTCCTTGCTCCTCATCGCCGTCGTCTTCTTCTTCTTGTTGTTGCTCGTCGCCATCGTCGTTGTTGCCGTACTCGTTGATTCCGTCGAGGTCTTGTTCATTCTCATCAAGTTCTCCGCCTTCTTCGTCGTCGCTGCCGTTGAGTTTTTGCTGTTCCGCCGCGATCCTCTGACGTTGCTCCTCCTCGAGTTTTCGTGCCTCCTCCTGTGCATCTTGGAGCACGCGGTCGCGCATCTCTTGCTCTTGTTGCTCCTTTGCGCGCTTGGTATTCTCCTTCTTGTTCGTCCACTGGTCGAGCTTGTCTTGACGCATTCGCGCTGTTTTTTCACTCACGAAGAAGGCGAAAGCGGCGAAGAACACAACCCAGAATGCAGCCACCTCGTACTGCGAGAAGGTGTACAGCGTCGGCGACATGGACAGACACGATTCGAACCCAGAGCTCGTGGCTGTGACAGCTTGGAGCGTGCCGTAGAGGCCCCACCAGGCCACGCACACGATGCCGTACACCAGGTAGAAGACACGCACGGTACGCAGACTCTTGATCGGCCATGGCCCCATCCAGCAGTACGTGTAGAACCACACGAGGACATGGCTGAGCACCACCGCGCCCTGCACGAATCCTGGACGGACATACAACAGCCACCAAGCAGACATCATCCATTATTGAGCTTCTTGCGCCCTCTGTGGAACAGCGGACATTACCGTGTTCAAAATTAAAATGCAGACGCACTCATAAGGTCGGCGTTGCAATCGTTTGTCGCCACGTTGATGATCACCCCACCGAAGACGATGGTCATGAGTGCCAACAACACTGGCACCAGCGGGAACAGCAGAAGGATCCGAGCCCAATACTTGGTCTTTTCGCGCTCCATCGCGATGCGCGTCGCGAGATCATACTGCACCTACAGTTCGATACCGCAGTCACCCTATGTCAGTGACTGAGCAGCTCTAGTCACACGTAGCAGCGGAGGAAGGCTGCGTACTTCCCCGCGTCATCGAGCGCTGCAAACAGACAACAGACCGGAGACTTCTTTTTTCGACGCCTGGCGAACGATGTGGTGCGCTTTGGGTGCAGCTCCACCGTGTTCGCTTGCTGCTCGTCGTCGTTCGCCATGGCGGCAGCGCTTCTTGGGGATCTTTGGCGTCGTGGTCGCGTCTCCTAGGTACAGCAGTTGGATCTTAAAAGGTTTCTCACACCTGAAACCGGCAAATCGCACCGAGCCCATGTGCTTTTTGTGACATCAGCTCTATTGTTGACTTGGGCGTTTTGTCATGCGTTGTCTCCGGCCGGTGCTGCTGTTGCACAGTGTCATGGCGAGCACCAATGCTCATTGGTCATTGGACGAAGGCACCACCCCGATTTGCAAGAATGGCTACGTGCTGGCGCGTGGTACCGGTGAATCTGTATGACGAGCTAAGACGATGTTACGTGTGCTTCCTCGCGCCTAATACGCTTGCTTCGTCGCCAATAGCGCGCCACCTGCCGACGATAGCCCACATAGGACAGTGATGTCATGCCATCTTCACCCTTGCATGCAACAATTCGAAGAAAGCACGCGCCTCTCTGCAATAGAAAAGCCCGAGATCAACGCCCCTATTCCCTGATCTAGGCGCCACATGTATTTTCCTGAGAAAACGAAGCAGAAAGAGAATAACGGTCTTGAAGCTCCCCCTCGAAAGATCCGGCGGCAAATTCGCAGCCCTCAAATTGTAAGGAACCAGATGTCTGCCGTAAGCGATTTCCGATTTTTTCAGAAAAACCGAAAATACAAAACCCCAGATCGGAAGCCACTTGGCCATTTTCTTCGTCACCCGCAGTTCTCCATCGACACTAGACCATGGGTCAATCCACATCTATGCAGGAGGACAAGATGAAGAAGCGCATTCGCCAGGCCATGGGCACATTCATGGACTTCGGCACGCACTTGAAAAACGCCAACGAGTGGTACGCCCGCCATGTTGAAGTCGTGCAGTGAGAAAAAAAAACTTATTGACTAATAAGCCATCGTGTTCTTCCAATCCAGGGCCCGGATCTGTACAACCCCCAAGAACTGCTACTTGTCGTTCCGCATCGTGATCGACCCGAACGTGTCGGCTCAGCTGCTGCCGTATTTGTGGCGGATCCACGGCAATGTGGCCGTCGAGGTGCGGAAGATGCGACGTCCTGTGGAGATGCAGCTCAACCTGGGCGAGTTCCGCTTGGACATCCCGCGCGACGCAACATACGAGCTTGAGAGCTCCGGAACTATCGGGCAGGCCAAGACGCTGACAATCGCTCAGTTTTACTACATCTACTGCTTCCTGTCCGACGTCAAGGCCTGTGCCGCGCACACCGTACGCTTCCCCGAGAAGACAACCAGGTATGTTGGGAAGGCGGATTGAAGGAAATGTGGTCAGGGTTGAACATTAAGACTAACTTGGTATTGGGATTGTGTCGGAATTATAGTACAGGGGAGACAGATTTCGATGAAACGGAGTGCCAGATCTGCATGGACAAAAAGAAACAGGTCGCGCTGCCTTGCGCACATAGTTTTTGTCTGAATTGTTTCCAGCACTGGAGCACGCAGAGCCAAACGTGTCCGATATGCCGAGCGAAGTTTAACTGCTCAGAGGGCGACGAGTTGTGGCAACTCACGTCGGACGAGGTGGAAGATCTGGGCTCCTACGCGACGGACTTAGTGGCGCGAATCTATGAGTATCTGGACAAGCGCGACATATCGAAACACACGGAGGAAGACATTAAGAGATCCGCGGAGCTGTATGCTGCAGCACTTGCCGTGAAGCAGTCACCGCTGCGTAAGTTTGTGCACACAGACCTGTTCCCGACGGCGTTGCCTCTGGGATTCCCGTCCATCTTGCGCACTGGGATCAGGCTCGCGACGGAATTTGACTCGGACTTGATGCTGGCGCTCGAGTTGGCGTCCGGTGAGGATCAGTATGCGGCCATGCAGCACTTTGAACAGCTCCAACGAGACCAGATGCTCGCTGTAACGATGGCCATGCAGGCGGAGGTCGAAGAGAGTCCGAACGAGTCGTGACTGAGTTCAGGTCGCGATAAGAGCGGGTCTTATTTATCAAGAAGCGGAGGAAGTATCATATTGCGGGATGAATGCAGTCGCTTGAGGTTGACTGCAACGAAGACGGATTGTCGAATAGGCAGATCAAAGCAGGGGGCTAGGCTCTCGTCGGGAAGAGTAGGTAGCACAAGGAAATAACACAATAGCTAGGGTGTATGTTAAGCGTTAATGCACGTGGATGTTTACCGGTGAAGCTGCTACGACTATTTTGTCTGGACTGGCACAGGCTCAGGCACATCATCTCATGGCGAAAGAACAGATCACCAAGGCGTTTCAGATTGAAGTTCGTCCATGCCATTTGATAGTTGTTTTCATGCTGTTTTACAGGATGGGGTAAATCCGAGCTTCAAGCCAATCGCGAGCAAACTTCAAGCCCCTACGCTCTGTCGTTAACCCTTCCCATTATCCAACGACGACGATGCTGGTGAGCCTGCGCAGCGCCTTGGGCGCCTCGACTCGTCGATCGCTTCTCCTGTCTCCGTGTCGCAGCTTCGCCTCACGGGCGGGCGCACTCGGCTCCTTCTCCAACGTGCTGGATGGTGCGCTCAACGTCAAGTCTGCGCAATTTCAAGAATCCCATGCGCACATGGCCAACCTCACGGCTGAGCTACGGGAGCGCGTGGCCAATGCGCGTCAGGGTGGTGGGGAGTCAGCACGTAAGCGCCACGAATCTCGTGGCAAGATGCCCGTGCGCGATCGCATCGACTCGCTGCTGGACCCTGGCTCCCCCTTCCTGGAACTGTCGCCACTGGCTGCGTACGACATGTATGGGGGTGGCGTACCAAGTGCGGGCATTGTCACGGGCATCGGCCGCATCAACGGTGTGGAATGTATGATCCTAGGCAACGACGCTACGGTCAAGGGTGGCACTTACTTCCCGTTGACCGTCAAGAAGCATCTACGAGCGCAGGAGATCGCCCAAGAGAACCGTCTACCATGTGTCTACCTTGTTGACTCTGGCGGTGCCTTCTTGCCGCTTCAGGCGGACATTTTTCCGGATCGCGACCACTTCGGACGGGAGTTCTACAACCAAGCGACAATGTCGGCCATGGGTATCCCGCAGATCGCTGTGGTTATGGGCAGCTGCACGGCTGGAGGAGCCTACGTGCCAGCCATGTCGGACGAGAGCGTCATTGTGAAGGGCAACGGCACTGTATTCCTTGGAGGACCACCACTTGTTAAGGCTGCGACGGGTGAAGTCATCACACCTGAAGAACTGGGCGGTGCCGATGTGCACTGCCGCACGTCCGGCGTGACGGACCACTACGCGAATAACGACGCTCATGCGCTGGATATCACACGGCGTATCGTCAGCAACCTGAACTACCGCAAGGAGCCTGCTGTCACCCAAACGCCAATTGAGGAGCCCGTTTACTCTCCCGATGAACTGGGCGGCGTCATTCCGGTGGACTCTCGCAAGCCTTTCGACGTTAGGAAAGTGATCGCTCGCATCGTGGACGGCAGTCGCTTCGACGAGTTTAAAAAGGAATACGGTCCTACTATAGTGACGGGGTTTGCGCGCCTGTATGGGAACCCTGTGGGCATTGTGGCTAACAACGGTATTCTCTTCTCCGAGTCGTCTGTGAAGGCTGCGCATTTCATCGAGTTATGCAGTCAACGTGGCATTCCTCTGCTATTCCTGCAGAATATCACGGGCTTTATGGTCGGCAAGAAGGCCGAACACGGCGGTATTGCAAAAGACGGCGCCAAGATGGTCATGGCCGTCTCTAACGCAAAAGTACCGAAGATTACGTGCATCATTGGCGGCTCCTACGGTGCTGGCAATTACGGCATGTGTGGCCGTGCATTCTCTCCTCGCTTCCTGTACATGTGGCCGAATGCTCGTATCTCCGTCATGGGTGGTGAACAGGCTGCTGGTGTGCTGGCTCAAGTGCAGCGTGACAACTACGAGCGTCGCCAAGAGACCTGGACTACCGAAGAAGAAGCTGCTTTCAAACAGCCGATTCTGGACAAGTACGAGAAGGAGAGCTCGGCTTACTACTCGACGGCTCGCCTCTGGGATGACGGCATAATCGATCCCAAGGATACTCGAAAGGTACTTGGACTGAGTCTCAGCGCTGCGCTCAACGAGAAGCCTCAAGAAACGAAGTTTGGCGTCTTCCGCATGTGAGACCAATGTCCATACGTGCTACAACAGATAAAAGAAAAGATCTTGTAGGCTTTTTGCAAATTGCCGCTATTGCCAGGTTGCATAGAGTCTAGGAGAAACACTTGCGACAAACACGAAGGCAGAGTAACAAATCTTGCAAAAAAAACTTAAAACCTGGAGCGCCCGATAGCGAAATCTGATGTCGACACCTCTGGACGATCTGCATTGAAAAAAGAAAGCAGTTGACATTACTCCTGCTTCTCGGCGGCCTTCTTGCTAGCCTGGTAGCGCACACCACGCTGGAGCTGGTAGAGCTGCGCCGTTTCATTCGAAGCGTGACATGCCAGCAACAGATAGTTACGGGGCTTCACCATCCACGCGAACCGCATAAAGATCAGACTGTAGATCGACAGGGCTGCAATAACAGTAATTAGTTAGACCCGACCAAGCTCAGCCCCATGAAGCAGATGCTGAGACTAACCCGACGTCATGTTGATTGAAATCACATCAGCGGGTTTCTGCATGTCCGCCATGGCCTGCAAAGACACAGTCACTAGTCAGCTAATGAGCTACCGTGTAGAAGAGACGAGCTAACGTACGGCGAGCACGAAACCCCAGTTGGCGACGGGGCCCCAGAAGTGCGTGGTCTTGGGTCCCGTGGGGCTGTTGATGAAGTAGCGGAGACGAGAGGCCATCGACATGGTCTGTGATCGGCGCATCAACACGTAAGAGCAATTCGTCAGTCGAAAGGGAATACAGACACGATGCAGCAGCGGGAGGAGGAGGTGATCGTCCTCTCACTTCTTCATTAGGAGCACACCCACGTACGAATATTCTGGGAAGGAGAAGGATCACTTGAGGGGGTCGAGCTACGAGTCTGCTTCGTCGATGCTAAGTGAGGCCCCAATCAGCTCGGAGCTGCCCGCACGTTTCTGTCCCAATTCCCCAAGCAGAGTATCGTCTTTCGCGGGTTTTCTTATCCATCAAACTGGGTTAACTTAAGTCAAACACTTTAATTTTTAAGTCTACCTTGTTTGAGTCAAACTAGCATGAGGTAAAGTGTTTAGAGAAACGAAGACACTCTACTAACTAATCGAACGGAACAGATTACATGAAGGGTTTGCGGCCGTCACAACTTACCGGTAATGTTAAGATCAACGATCTTGCAGCTTCAACTTGACACCTTTTTTTTTATGACCGCCAGCATTTCTTTCTCGCTGCACTTACATGTTTTCGCGGGAGAAAGCTAGCCCTCTCTCAATATCCTTCCGATGCGAAAACAATCGACACTGTTGCAGCCTTGACGACGAGGCAACGAGGATTATCATAGCGGTAACTAAATCGGTCTTCTGCTGAACTCATTCTCTAGTCGACACGATCATGGCATACGAGTGCTTGTCCTAAATGTGATCAAGCTCATGCCTTTCGTTGCGGCCTGAATTTTAACCAGACCTCAATCCAAGCTGCCTTACAAAATCGTTTTTCAACTCAGCTACGGAAGAGTCACACTATCCGGACATTGAATTATCTTATCCGGACAACAAAGGGGTATAGACGAGCACGTCGCATCCTTCGACTTGCAGACGAAGAATCCAAGATGAAGACGCCGCAAGAGCAGCGACCTCGCTCCTACACGGAGCACTCAACGCTGTTATCCACGCCGTCACTAGCACGATGGCGCCATTGCCATGCGGCGAGTAGACGACACACGACGGTGCGCCAAGACATCTGGACTGTGCTGCGATTCCGTTCTTCCGTGCAGCACCGCTATGGCCTACAGCTCGCATCATACATTTTGGAGCTTAGCATCTTGACGCTCATCCTGCTGAACGTGGTGGTGGCCGTCTCGGAAACTTCTGTCGTGATGGACGCTGATGCACCGGAGTCTTCTGCTGGGTCGATGCCCGAGGTGAACGACTGGACGGATATATTCTTGCTGGTATCCACCATCATCTTCTCTATTGAGTACGCGCTGAGAGTGTGGTCGTGTGTTGAAGACGATAGATTTAGCGAGGGAGCAATCAAAGGACGGTAAGAAGCTCGCCCTGTTGTCATTTGTCTGCAGATTCGAAGCCGCTTACAACCGTTGTGTTTCAGATTGAAATGGATGACACGGCCGTTGTCGCTGATCGATCTGATAGCATTGGTCCCATTCTACTTGGAGCTCAGCTTACAATTCGAGTACGTTTAAACGATCAAACTTACGTACTAGTATGTGGCTTTATTTTTTGGTCCTAATTTATCTCTCACTCATGCATTGCAGCACACACCAGCATGGAGGATTAACACTGCGAAGTCTTCGACTACTGCGGATTGTATCGTTCCTGCGACTAGAGCGAATGTACAACGCGATGAAGAACCTCCGTGTGATCTTCGCGCGAAAGAAAGAGGAGTTTTTAGTGGTAACATACCTTACAGCCGTGGTGATTCTAACCTCGTCACTGCTGATCTTCTTTGTCGAGCACGTGGCACAACCTGACGTGTTCTCAAGCTTTGGTGTCTGCGTGTGGTGGTCGGTTGAGACGATCACCTCACTTGGTTATGGCGACATAGTGCCCGTCACTAGCATGGGCCGAGCGGTGGGCGCCTCGCTGGCGCTCTGGGGTATTGTCTTGTTCACGATTCCCGGGGCAGTGTTAGGGAGTGGGTTCATCGAGGTGATGCTGGAGAAACAGCGCGCAGAGGAGGCCGAGATGTACAGTATGGCAATGGGCGGCGGTAGTCCGATCAACAACAACAATTCGCTGTTCATAGGCAACTCCAGCGACGACGAAAACGGGCATGAAAACTCCGACTGCGAGTTAGGTGAGACAGCCCATACGCCGGTTTCGGTGTCTTCATCCAACAACTCGTCAGCGCCGCGCCTAGCGGCCGCTATGCGAATTGAGGCACTGCATCAAAAGGTCGAAGTCATCGCGGCAGGCCAGGTGAGTTTTGGTGGCTCTTGCATTACAGTATTCACAACGCACTAACGGCGGGTATGCTACGAATGCGCTTCTCCAACTCAGCGTCACTTGGAGGCGCACTTCCGCCAGCAACAGCAGCAGCTTGAGAGGCTCACGCGTCTTCTCGAGGCCTCGCTTGGAGTGGCTACGACCAGCGTAACGTCGTCGCCGACGCGACGGGCCACAACACGCTCTCTCGAGTTAAGTTAATGTTGATGTTGAAGTGGTTTTTACAGTACGATTATCAAGATTGTTGAATCTGCCCCGTCACAATAGTAAACTTAATCGAGCAAAGACAATACGTCTACCTGTCCAATTCGCTCCGAAAAACCTCACTGAGTCTGCAGTGCAGACTCAGTGAGGTTTCTCTGCAGAACTCTGCACGTTTTCTTGCCAGCGTCGCTTCCATCCGCTTCCAGCCAATCCGTTCTGGATTGGCCAAAATTGCTACCAGCCAATCCAAGGACGTCACTACAAGCTGGTGCCGCACTTCATTCTCGGAGATCCTCCCACCACCACAACTCGCAGGTCTGCCTGCTCGTTCTTCTCCCTTCGGGCCCGTTCAGAGATCGCTAACATGCTGCTCGCACGCTTGCGGACGACGGCGGCGGTAACTCGCAGCTTCCAGACTCGCGGGATTGCCAACATGTTCGGTGCCGCCACGATGAAGACCGAAAAGGCTGCGGCTGAGGCCGCTGAAGCTGCGCAGCCACAGGAGCTCGGCGACATCGTACTGGGTATGCGTCGATAGTTAACATGTATTGTCAATGCTACGAACTGACTTTTACACTATTCAGACGGCTTTGCCAAGCGCCAGTTTGAAGACAAGACGTACTCGGGCACTCAGATCGACTTTGACAGGAACGAGTTTGTCAAAAAGGTGAACGAGATCTACGAAGCCAACAACAAGCAGTTGGTGGACGGGTACGCTTTACCATATTGCAATGCGATCATGAACAGATGAACTGACGTTGTGTGACGTCAGCTACGCGCCGTTCTGCAAGCACCTGTTCATCAAGAACTTCACGGGTGCTCGTCTCAACATGGTGGCCATCACACAGGCAAACGCCCACATGCTCATGTCTGACTATGATGCTCGCACAGAATACGAACTACCCGTGTAAGTTGCTGCTAGAGCGTTTGTTTGAGTGTATGACGTTGACTTAGGATGCTGTTATTGCTGCTATTGTTGCAGACTGGGTCGTTGGTTCCCGAGCCACAGCGTGACCCCGAGAGTGGCCGAATATCTGGACATTATCCTCTACAGCCGTGAGCAGATCATTAAGGAGAATGAGGCTGTGGACGTCCCGGCAGACCCCAGCCACGGCGATTCCCCGTGGGGTATTGTGTCTATCAAGGCCCAGGACGAGGACCACGAGCTGCCCATGAAGCCTATTACCATGATGCGAAATGCAGTGGGCAAGGAGCAGGGCGGCTCCGGTGTGCCTCTCGACCGCGGCGAGTACATGAAGGCTGTCGAGTACTGGCGAAACCACGCTGTGATCAAGAAGATGTAGGCACCTGCGTCTAAGACGTTGACGTCAAGCGCGCCACGTTTTGAGAGCCTAGGCGATCTTTGCATGCAAATCCCAGCCCACAGCGCTGTTCTCGCCACTGATCAACGTATGAGAATGGAACGGCAGGCTTGGTGTGCATATATATCTTAAGGTGCATTTGATGTTCATGAGATTGTTGTGTCTCTGTATCCAGCTTTTATCTGCTTCTCCTGTTGACAGCAGTTCTAGCTCGTCTCGCCTAGCATGGGTTCGTTTTCTGGAAGTCTTCCCACGCCGTGTTGAGTGCCGCAAACACACGCTCGGCGATCAGCAACTGTTCAGCGTTACGACCTCCAGCCTTGTCAGGGTGTACGACGATCATGGCCTTCCGGTAGTGCTTTTTTATATCGTTCGGCTGAATCAGCTTGCCCATGTTCACTTCAGTCCACTTGCAGCCCTCCCACATTACCTGATGCATCGTGGACAGCAGCGTGCGGATGTTCTTGACGCGACCATTGTCCTCTGCCCAGGCCTTCAGTCGAGGCCCAAGCACTGTACTGGCACTGTCCTTCATAGCCGCCATGTTACGCACCGCTTCTTCTCGTTTTCTCAAGTCATCGCGAGCTCGTTCCACATCACGTTGTACCTGTCGCTCACGTTCTTCCATGGCTCGACGTACATCGTCACTCTTGGTCGACTTGTCCACCAAGTTCGGGTTGTACACGTTCGAGCCGTCGGATGTGGATTTGGAATGCGCCTCCATCTCCGCCATGGTCACAGGGCCTACCGTCTGTCCGTTATCATCGTCAAACTTAGGCGGATCTCTCAGTACAGTCTTGGACGGTGAAGGCTGAGAAGGCGCCGAACGAGTAGCAAGCGGGTCCATTGCGTTCAGGAAGTCCGACGTCGCGTTAGCTGGCTGTGCCGGCGTGGCTGGTGCGTCATTCCAGCCACTGTCACTCATAAGATTCACATCTTTCTTCGGCGGTGATGAGCTTGGCGCAGCTCCAGCACTGGGCACCTTCTGGCTACCAGACAGAAAATCTTCCAGGTTGCCTTGTGCCTCTGGAGCTGCAGGTTTGGATCCCGATCCTGTCCTCGAGACCGGTTTCTTGTCTCCAGAAATGGATGATGTACGGCTCGATGCATTGCTATGTCGGGAATCCGCTCCACTGCCACTTCCTGGAGTCCGGTCCGAATACTTGGCTGGTCTACCCTGCTCGAAACCCTGAGACGATGACGATCGATGGAAGTTGTTGCCCTCGCCCAACGGCTGCACAGATTTGACAGACTGTACGCTGTTGGAGCTGTCACCGAGGGCACTGGAGCTTCCCTGACGCTTGGGCGGCTGACTGCCGCTTGCCCATTTGAGCACAGGTCGACGGCGGAAGACGAGTCCAGGTTTCTTAGGCCGTTCCAGTCGCAACAGCTTGCAGATGACGCGCCCGCCCGCAAGTGGGACCTTTTGTGTGGGCTGCGTCACGTCCAGCCAGTAGAAAGTGTTACTCTTGCTGCTATTTAGACGAAAGCGGAAGTGGAAGGCCGCTGGGTTGCGCAGTGGGAAGCTGCGTAGTACGTCGGCGAGCGTAACATCCGCGCCTGAGGAGACACCTGTCAGCTTGAAGGCGTTCGGGTGCGAGCGATCCTCTCCATCCTCGCCTTGCAGATAGTAGAAGGCCCAGATGCCACCCTCCATTGACGCAGATGCAGCACACGAAGTCGACGCAGCAGGAAGCGAGCTGGACTCTGCGAACAGCTCGGGGGAGACTTAGACCTCTGCCAAGAATAGCTTCACAAAATGCGTACCCCTTTGGAGGTTGCACCGATGTGGTCCACATGAGGTTACAAAAGAGGGTACCCTGACTCAATTCTTAAAGCTTAAAAAAACCTTTTTTAAAATTAAAGGACTTGACCGGTGAGTCTACGTTAGACTCTAGAAGCCTAACTAAACCGAAAGAGGGCCCACCGCTTCTGTGGTAGTATAGTTCTATTGAAAATTAAGCGGACACAAGCCTCGATGTTGTGCACGAGCTAACGTAACTCGATCTACGTTTGGTCTGCACAAGAATGCATGATGAATATTGCAAAAGTAATGCAATATGCACTGGCCGAGGGCTGAGAAGCTGGGCACGCTCTAATGGAATGCCTTCATTTTCGCTAGTAGCATGCCGGCGTGTACAGTAAGGTTCGCAGAGTTTTCATGGTGTGACTAGCTAAAAGGACGACGCGGAATCATTCGACTGCAATGTGAATCACACCGAGACATCTCCCGAGAGCACCCAATCGTGTAGCCTAGCATACAGAATGCGTTTTGGCGCTAATACAGAATAATCCTCTGACTCGCCATCTTCATTCATGACAAGTGCGCGGAGTCTTCAGTGCGAGATGCGCTGTCACTTTAACTTCAAACGTGTATCTGGTATCTTATTGGATAATAAAAAACGTTTTCTTAATTTTGACCTCTAACAACGCAGCGTCGATTCGCCGTTCGCTTCGCGCCAAGATACGCATTTTAAACTCAGGCTCGGTCACATTTACACGTAATTAAATCCAATTCGCGCCATATTCGAATCGGTTGTTCCGGATTTCGCCAACGATCAAACTTGCAAGCTGTCCGACACTCGAATCCTTTTAGTATAACAGCAGCGATCCAAGCATTTCTCCAGGGACCAGGTAATGAATTAGCTGATACAAGACACTTTGGCAAGGATCGCTACCGCTTTGATCAACTGAGTGGGGCCAGCTCATAATGAGCAGGCATGAGCCTCATTTATCGATGCATACGACAACGATCTCGAAGAAGCCCTCGACGGGGCTCGGAAGTTCCGAGCCTTGGGAGTGGTACATATAGTATTCGGAATACGGCGTCCGATACAGCGTACTGGACCAGTACTACTGGTTACTGTGACGTAGTTATTGAGGATCTAGGGCCTCGCAACGTCTGTCGCTTGACGCCTTGGAGGCCGTTGCCGAGGCAGCAGATCGCTCTCCGCTATCTACATGTATAAGCTTTGACTCATCTTTTCGCAAGCAGCAAGGGCCGCCGCAATCAGCAAACTGACTCTCGTTTCCACTGCCCGAAGCTGCAACAGCAACAACAACCTGCACTTCACAAGGCCCAGAAGACCATTGTTCTGATGGTAGCGGACTCTCATAGAATCTTTCACGATCAGCGAGTAGCAATTTCCTTTATCGAACGGTCTTTTTTATCTTTTCGGCAAAAAAATCGAATTTCGGTTCAAAATGTTTTTTTGCGTTTTTTTTGTGGTTTTTTTGTCATTTCACCATGGTCCTTCGGAACTCTTCGCAAGTGGACTAAATGACTGGCTAACCAAGCTTGGTTATGCCTTTAATTCTTGCCTTTCGCGTTGGGCATTTCCAATTCTTCAATCAATGGGTCAGGTACGCAAAGAAGGTGTGTGGTCTCATTTCAAGGATCATCCCAAGGGGAAGTATAAGACTCGGCGATTGAAGTGTGTTGAAGGAATGATTTGCGCAGAGTTGTTAGGGCGGTACAGAACTGAATGAGGACAAAGGTAGAGAGGATTAGGCGGCCATAGTGAAGAGGAAGTCTTGAATGTAGAAGGAGAAGACGCTTGTGTGGTAGAGTTCGTAAAAGAGGAAGTGGTGATTTAGATAGTCTGGTGTCCTGGAGGGGAGTTATTCTCCACCAACCAGTCCAGTTATATAAGAAATCTCTATATGATATAGCACAATTATATTCCCCTAGATAGTCAGCATCACATCGGAGATGGTTACTTCAACAAAGTGTAATCACTGCACTACGACCATGTCTGCGATGGTGAATCATATGCAGCGCCATACCAAAATTTATCGGCCATCGGACCTGTACCTCAAAGCTGGTACAAAATGCAAAAACAAACACCGTACGAACACTTTTGAATGTACATTTTACTGACAGCTGCGGTACTGCATGGGGGTAGGGGAGACACCCCGAGATGGGGATCGGCTGCAGTGAGAATTTCAACCATGTTTATAGGCGAAAAAGTTGGAGGTCTGCGTAGTTGGGCGAAAAAATTAAGACTGAGCGTAGAGGCCTCATTGCCCCGTTTTGTGTGTTTTGAGCTCTTCTAGGCTGTGAGCCACAGGTTGGGTGCGAGTCTAAACATACTGAGGTGGCAGGATAGGATTGGTGAAAAATCGACCAATAAGTGCGTACATCTGTAACTGGCTGTCGCTGGTGCTCTTAATAGTGGACCCCGCCACGAAAATCGGGGGCTCATTGTTGAATTTACCTGGCTAAGAGCACATGGCTCCTGGTCGCAAAATGCATGTTTTTTTTTTTTTTTAGCTTTTATCAGCCCACAGGCCATTTCCTTGAGCTCATGCTCTCGCTCCTCAGCCCCCCCCTCCTCCACAGCCCCCCCCCGCACCTCATCTCACCTCACCCAAACTCACTTCCTCACCCAACGACGACGTAGCTCAGTGGAAGAGCACAGGGCTCTGCCTTGAGGACGCTGGTTCAAATCCAGCCGTCGCCATCTTTTTGATTGTGAGGTGGAGGCTCGTCAGGGGCTAGTGGCTAAAGGCGTGGTGCTCTACCTGCTTCGATATCTGAACTTAGTAAGATGTGGTTACGCTGTGTGCGTTATGCGAAACGTGTATGATGAATTCGCTAGCTAAGTGTTCCTGTTGCTAATCCTTAACTTCTAAAACGTCTTGGGTGTAGCCAGGAGCGGGATCGCGAATGGCTGCAGACTGGAGGAGGTTTTGGTGGCGCTTGATTCTGTCGTTTAGGTCTCCCTTTCTGTGAAGAGCCTGCAAGTGCTTAAGGACGGCGCTCGACCCACGCGAGCTGATCTTCTTCTCGCCACTTAGGAAGGTAAGTACGGCTTCCTCTGCTTTCTTGCCCACCTCAAGAACACAGTCACGATAGTCGTCAGCATCTTGGTCAAGAACAAAGCCGTCTTCAAGAAAAATCTTCATGAAGGCTACCAGCAACTTCGCTCTTGATCGCTTTTGTTTTGGCGCCAGAGCGTACCAGCGTGGATCTTGAGCGTACCACGCAAACCAGGTAGCATGAAGGTGAGTTGGAGATCCCCGGCGCTGCTTCTTGTTAAGCGTGCTAACGTCATCTGTGCCTTCCTCTGGACAGCTTCGTTTTCTTGGTGTAGGCTCGCTGTTTTGCTTAGCTTCGAGTGCATCTATGCGAGCGTCCTGTCGCTTGATGTGCTTCATAAAGTGCTTAATCAGCCGCTTGGTGGTCGATGGTCTTCTGTTTCTCGCTTGATTCTCTTGGCTGTTCGTCGTCGTTGTGGATTGCTGCATTACCTGTCTTGGTGTCTTCGCAGGTAGCGGATGGGGTTGCCAGGTGCGAGGACCAAGCGAGCAGCTCGGCTAATGAGCATCCAGCGTAATCAACAGCCGCTTCGATGCGCGTCACAGCTGGACTTGTGGGGTTCAGGTCTTTGAGTAGCGGGAAGTGACGGAAGACGCGTGCGGTGAGGACATCCATCACCTTCTTGTTGATGTTTAAGCTGTCGGTCTTGAGCTCGAAGCAGGTAGCAAACAGGACACGCTGCACCCGATCCATCGCTTGACGCGTCTGCGTGTCAAAGCTAGTCAAGTCTTGCAGCGGCACCGCGGTTCTGGGTTTGTATCCGCTGAGTACTTTCGCTATCTTGTGGTCTTCTTCGCTTGTATTGAAAATGTAATTGAACCCTTTGCTCGTTGTGCTTAGATTCCAGGAGCCTCTGTCAAAGATCCAGCGTGCAGTCATCTCGTCGCAGCCGTTTGCGTGCTGAGCGCCTCCTCTTCGAAACGAGTGGGATGTCAAGGCGACATCCACACCAGCAGCAGACGCTACACGGTCTAGCACCCGGTTAACGTGCGCGTATACTGTAGGGGCTGTGGCAACGCGCGGCGGAGCTGCTGGAGCGGCAAGACCAGTTGTGACTTGCGGAGCGTTGAGCAGCTCGATCAGCGGGACGTCGGGAGAAAGCGTGGAGCCTGCGAAGCCTGCTTGTTCTGGGAGGTTGCTGACGAGGGCTGGTCCTGGGGCGGCTTGGAGGATCAAGGCGAGCGCAATGGAGAGCAAGGGGCACGTAGCCAATTCCGTATCAGGAAAGAGCGACAGCCCCTGCTCCTCAGACGTCTTCACGCGAACCAAGCGCAGGAAGAAGACGTCGCCTGCGTCCACTGACATGTTGTGTTTGCGGACCATGGCTAGGTCAGACGCGCGACCGAACAAGTACCAGAGAAGACATAGTAAAGTTGCATCTTGATAGTCACTTTCTGAGCTAGCATAAGTGTACAAATACAACATCATTCTTTTCAAATCATCTTTCGTACAAGGTGGTGCTTTCGCTACGAGCCCACCACCATCTCGCTTCAGACAGAAGCTGTCTAGTGTCTTTCCCATTTTCAGCAACCGGGCTTCCAATGAAGCTCGGTGCTTAGGGAACTGGTCGAGCAGCCAAAGCTTTGCTTGCCGATAGTACTGCATGGCAGTGTTGCGAGCTATTGGTTTACCTTTCTTTCCTTCCTTGAATGCAAGATACATACCAAATTTATCCATCACACACACGAACATTTTTCCGCTCTCGTCACTATCAATGCACTTCCTTATGTATTCCTGTTCAACTTCCTCTTCTTTGAGGAATTTGACGAACGCACCGATGGCTGTTGCCTTAGCCCGCAAGGTGTTACCAGGCTGTAGTTCGTCTAAGCCCATGTCACTGATTCACTGGTCCGATAAAAGCAAAATATGCAAGTGATATGTCAATGACTTAGAGTTTGGATACGCATACACATATTTTGCGGATCGATCGGACGTGATACGTCCGCGTAGAGGACTCGCCTACCCCTATTTAATTTGATTGGTTAAATAGCATTATCATCTTGAAAGCTATTGGTTAGTACCACAGCAAAATTATATCATTGGCTCTAAGATACCAATACAAAATATAAGTGAGGTCCGATAAAACTTCATATTCTACCATATCATCAACTGCGAGAAGATATCGCGTGGGTGGGGGCGCATGCTACTTGAAGACAACGTTTTAATGGAGGATTTGGAGCGTCAGTCAGAAGGAGCTCAAGCTTTGCGATCTATATAAGAGAATGACGACAACATTGACTTCCCCAACGTAGACGACGATTAAAGAGCTGAGACTGGGTGCAGCAGCGCTGGAGATGGAGCAGAAACGCAAGCAGGGGTAAGAGCGAGTATTACCCCAAAAAAACATGACGGCAAAAAATAAGCAAAAAAAATCGGTTTAATATATGTTCTTTTTTATGTATAAAAAAAACTTGCACAAGCAAGTACAGTTAGCAACAACTTCAAAGCGAAACTCAAATTGTGACACTTGTTGCAGCCCTTCCACACAACGCACGACACACTGTAAAGCAGCGTTTCTGTACCGCTCGCCCAGATGTTGGTGACAATCCTCGTAAAGCAGCGTTTCTGTACCGCTCGTCCAGATGTTGGTGACAATCCTCGAAAGAGCGGGGGTCGTATACTGAACACCAGTCACTTTCTCCCCTAATCTCGATATGGGGACCTCGATACAGTTAACGCTCTCATTCCGCAATCGGCAGGGAAGGAAGCACCAATAAGCTTACCGATAGAACAGGGAATCTCTATGAAGGTGTTTTCGCCTCAAAGTGTGGGGCGCCTCCTGCTACCCGCCCTACCTCTGGTGATCACATCCGTGACCGCTGCCGACCCCGATACGAACTCGAGTTCGGGCTCTACCATCATCTACATCGTCGTTGCAGTGATCATCATTCTGTTTGGCATCGTCGCCTTCTTCGTGTGGAAACGCAAACAGAATCGTAGTAAGCGCAGAGATGACCGTGGCTACGGTCTTCCCTCAGTCACTGCGCGATCCGGAGTCAGCCGTCTCACCTCGCACGGTAACACAGCTATCGAACGACGCATGGACTCCACGGGTTACAGCAGTAACTCTAAGGGGGGCAATTCCAAGAGTAAGAAGGTGTCAAAGCCTTACCAGTCACCGCAGCAGAGAGTAGAGCGTCCTCCCCAGTGGCCTGCCAATGGAGCCCCGACCTACACTCGTCAACAGCAGCAACAGTCTCAGTACCAGCATCAACCACACTACGAATCGCAGTACCAGGAGAGTCAATATCAACCGCAGCAATCGTTCCCGCCCCCGCCCCCACCTGAAGTCCCCATGCTTGAGCCACACGAGGATCAGGGTCCCGGTCTTTCGATGATGGAGCTGCAGCAGAGCCAAGTGTCGTCTATGCAGTCCAGTGTGGAGGGAGTGCACAGGAGACAAACAGACCCAGCTGTTATCGCACGCACGCAGGAAGCAGCCGAGAAGGTGATGGCGGAGCTGGAAGAAGATTCCGAGTTCGAGGAGAGCTGGATCCCGTACGATTCACTGTACTTCACGCGTGCCATCTCCAAAGGAGCCTTCGGAGAGGTGTGGCTGGCCCAGCTGGAGAACACGCAGGTGGCAGTCAAGAAAATCCTGGATGAGAAGAAACACGATACCAAGGAGATCGAGTGTTTCGGCGCCGAAATCAAGCTCATGGCACTGCTGAAACACCCAAAGATTGTGGGTTTTATCGGTGTGTCGTGGAGCGACAAGCAAGACTTGTGTGCAGTGACGGAGTTTATGGCCAAGGGCGACCTCTACGGCTACCTCGAACGTCGTAAGAACAAACTCAACTGGCCGGACCATAAGATGTGGCTGGCTGAGGATATCGCCGAAGCGCTAGTGTACCTGCACTCACTGAATCCGAAGGTTATTCACCGCGATCTCAAGTCCAAGAACATTCTGCTGGACAACAAGTACCGAGCCAAGTTGAGTGACTTCGGTATCAGTCGAAAGCGCTCCGTTGAGGAGACGATGACCGCAGGTGTCGGTACCATCTACTGGACGGCGCCTGAGGTCCTCATGGGCAAGAAATACACCGAGAAAGCCGACATTTACTCGTTCGGTATCGTTATGTCGGAGATGGATACATGCGAGGTGCCGTTCTCGGACAAACGCGACAGCTCTGGCAAGAAACTGCAGAGCATGAAGATCATTCAGATGGTCATTCGCTCGGCGCTTCGACCGTCGTTCCGAGAGGATTGCCCCGAGCAGATCAAGGCGCTCGCCGACCGCTGTCTGGACGCCGACCCGGACGCACGACCGGATGCACCCGAGCTGCTCGACATTCTGCGCGACATCCAAGATGATTTGCAGTAGAAGCGTTGGGACAGAGTAATCGCGCGCGAAAAGTGAGGAAGAGCGTCGATAGATTCGGTAAAATGGCTCTGGCTCGCTTACGGGTATTTAAGTTTTTTTGCAGGTAATACAGATTCAGGTTGTTTAAACAACGTCGTCGGAGTTTTCAACGTGGAGTTGTTGCATGGTGTATCGCCCGTGTTGCATACAGTGCCGATACCGACAGGCTTGTTGAAGCAAACAAGTGAGCTTCCCAGCTTGCTATTAATACGTACTACGTAGTATGAATTGAAGCACAAGCTCGTTCGTATTTTTATAACGTGCAATTGTGAGTCGATATCGCCGTCATGATGGCTTCGTTTTCAGCAGATTCTTCAACAAAAGTCTCGAGGGCGGGTTTTGCTTCACAGTTCGTATGGACTTTTGGCGCGCGGGTCCAATACAGTGTTCGCGTTGCTAACACTACAAGATGCTCGGTAATGCCGGATGGCAGCGCAGTCCTCTAAATGTTTTTGTAACAACAAATGTGACGTCCGCAAGGCTCAATTCATATTGTAATACATGCTACGTAGATCTCCTGCAAGTTACTGTATCGGGAAACTACTACAGATCTACAACTTCTACAACGTCAAAGTACTAAAATACTAAAACAATATTGCCTCAAGGTAATAAAATGCTAATATTACTAGCAAATTTTGGACGTAGTAGTATTAAACTACTTCGAAGAACTACTGTATTAATACGTGTAGACTTTACCGTCGGGATCTCCACCCGGTCGCCACTTGTGGCATGTGCAGCCGATGGTGTTGGAGCGATCCTTTTTATTGGATTCTTACAGCAACGTGCTCCATCATGCGGCAAAGTATCAACTTGGTACATGTATCGTCGAAAATGCTCAAGGCGCCAATCTCTTCATCGCCATAGTGGCACGACCCTAAAAATTGCCTCTGTGGCTGACAAGTGAAGTGGATGTACAAGTCTACGACAGCACGCCATGTCAGGTCCATTTTGCGTGTCAAGTGTGCACCCATCTAATTAAATCACTAGTGGCGCTCACTGCTCGCACCTACACCACCTACACTGGAGCCGTGTGTTTGTTGACGGCGCCGTTACCGCGTATCATGTGCTTTGGCCAAATGGACAACCAAGCAGTGGTGCTTCTGAAAACTTGCGCTAGCTTTTGAAATATTTAACGAGCAGCCACTCACAGCCATCATCCCACTCTTTCTCGAGAATATCTGGCTTCGTTGGCCACTCCTGACGCGCCGCTCTCTCACGCGAAAAACTAGTCAGTGCGCTAGCTCCGTAAGTATAATTCCAAGAGGCAGGGCAAAGTCATTCGGCCTTCGGGGGTGTAGTGGAGAATATATCGCCCAAAAACGGACATGGGGTTGGTGGCCTTCATCACGTGCGGCGCGTGCTCTAGCCGTCGCAAACACGGCCACGAGAACTTCCCGGACACCATTACGATCCCCACGCCGTCCGCGCAGTCGCACAACGCGGCACTGGCGCATCACCACCCGTACGATATCCACGGCACTCCCGCGCCTGCCCCCGCTGCACGTGAACACCGCAATACTCGTGGAGAGGACCGGTCCAGAGACAGCAACGAGCCGCGACGCGACCGGAAAACGTCGAACCCGCAGCCCCGAGTCTCCAACGGCCCGAGCAGAGTGTCAAACGGCCCGAACAGATCATCCAGCGCCCAACAGCGACCGCGTACAGGCTCCCGACCGCAACAGTATCAACCGCAGCACCCTGAGCAGAGATCGCGTCCGCAGCAGCACGACCGCCACGCGCGACATGAGCGTCCGGCCGTACGCAATGTCGAGCCTGTCGCGCCGGAGAAACTACGACCAAGCGGCGGCGGCTCGGGCGGTTCAGGCAATAACCGCGATTCAGAGATCACAGACAGGTCTAAAGAGGTTGCGAGCAAAGTGTTGGAGCAGTTTCAGACCGACCCGACGCTCGGAGGGATGCGCATCCCGTACTCGTCGCTGTATTTCACGCGCGTGCTGAGTAAAGGCGCGTTCGGTGAGGTGTGGCTCGCGCAACTGGAGAACAGACAGGTGGCCGTCAAGCGGATTTTGAACGAGAAGAAGAACGACGAGAAGGAGATCGAGTGTTTTGGCGCAGAAATTAAACTCATGGCTTCTTTCTCGCACCCGAAGATCGTCGAGTTCATGGGCGTGTCGTGGAGCTCCATGCAGGATGTGTGTGCCGTGACGGAATACATGGCCAAGGGCGATCTATACGGCTTCCTTAAACGCCGACAGGGACAACTGAACTGGCGCGACCACAAGATCTTTTTGGCTGAAGATGTGGCCGATGCGCTCGGATACTTGCACGGCCTGTCGCCCAAGGTGATTCACCGTGATCTTAAGTCGAAGAATATTCTATTGGATGACTCCTTCCGAGCCAAACTGAGCGACTTTGGTATCAGTCGCGAACGATCGGTGGAGGACACAATGACTGCCGGTGTGGGCACAATATACTGGACAGCACCTGAAGTGCTGATGGGCAAGAAGTACACGGAGAAGGCTGATATTTTCTCGTTCGGTATAGTCATGTCCGAGTTGGACACACACGCCGTGCCGTACTCGGACAAACGCGACGCGTCAGGAAAGAAACTGCAGGGCATGAAGATCGTGCAGATGGTGATTCGACGAAACTTGCGACCGACGTTCTCGTCGGACTGTCCACCGCTCGTCAAGGAGCTGGCGGACCGCTGTCTGGACTCAGATCCGGACGTGCGACCCAGCGCCATGGAATTGCTGCGGATCATCCAACGCATGCAAAATCTTTTGTAAGATTGCAGTGAAGCCTCGAAAACCCGCTTAAGTAACAGACACGGGGGAGAGGACACTCGCTGATCGAACCGAAGGAAGGATCGAACGAGTGGCGCGTCAGTAGAGCGGGAGACTGCACTACTCCAACTAGAAGCCGCATGCAGATATGATTGCCGAGCTGATAGGACGCATTTTTTGTTGGTTTGCCATAAATTCCCCAATAAACAAAGACAATTCGAGTTCGTAGAGAAAGTAACGGCTACTTTTCAAAAACGAAGTTCTTAAAAGTTGCAGACAATTTGCTTGCCACTTTTTAGTCCGAAATAGTCTAGCCGTTTTTTTATCAGTTTTTGGTTCCGATGCACATTTTTAATTACCCGCCAAAATGGTGAACCAGGAGGAGACGTTGCTGTCCTTCGGATCTCCACGGCGGGGCTTCTCGACCTCCATGCACAGTTTGGTGGACGAGGTGAAGCTAGACGAGGAAAGCTGCAAAGACGCGGATGAGCTGCTCGCATTTTACCGCCAACGATGCGAGCAATTCCACGCTGAACGAGAGCAAACGTTGGCGCATTTGGCACAGATCGAGGTGCAGCGAAAACAGAAAGGTTAAATTGCATATCAGAATGGCGGTAACCGGTGAAATGGTGTTGCAGGTGTCCAAGGAAGAAGCCCATCGCCTTAAATGGGAGATCAGGACCAAGAACGAAGAGGTTAGGAGTCATTTTGGTGGAGAAGAGAGGTGAAAGTAGCAGCAATTTCACGCGTTTTGCTCCAACAGATTGCAGATCTGGAGGAATCCCTGAAAAAGGCAAACGCTTCATTGTTTCAAGCTAAAGCTGAGCTCATCGATCTTCAAACAGAGAACAAAACGCTGAAGCTTCAAGAGCAAGACGACCGGCAGAAGATGCAACACTTGCTGGCACTGACTCAACCGATAACCGAGCAGGTAACATTCTTTCGAGATTGCCGACCCGGTACACGCACAACGTATCCATCAGGAAGAACGCCAACGCCAACGACGTATCCCTATCCATCGACAATGCACATTGGATCGGAGGAAATGCAGCAAGAGAAGAAAAAGAAACAGCAGAAGTCAGGCTTTGCAGTGCGAGGGAACGCCCCGAGTCTCGTGAATATCACACAAGGTATCCCACCGAACAAGGTGCTTCGGACGATTTACATGCCCAATGAACAGACAGCGGCATTGACGAAGACCATTGAAAACCTCCAGAAGCAACTCGAGAGTCACCAGCAACTCACTGAGACGCGAATTCAAGCGCTTTTGGACGGATTTGCAGACGAGAGGGCGAAGATTTTGTTGCATCAGCAACAAATTGAGGACAAGAGCGTGCAACTGGAGGAGCAGGTAGAAAAGACCAAGCGAGTTCTTACCCAAACGACCAAAGATTATTTGGTACTGCGTCACAAATCTCAAGAAACTGAACGTCTAGCGCACGAAGAGATTTTCCAAGTGAAGCAAAAATGCGAAAATTTAGTCACGGAGAAGACCAAATTGACGGAAAAGGTCCGAGAGGAGACCAATGCGCTGCGTCAAGTCGTCCGTGAAGAGGGCAACCAGACAGTGCTGGAGTTCCGGAACCAGGCGATTTCTCGGGAGCGAGACCTGCATATTCTGAAGGAGCAGTATGCGGCAATGCAGGAGGCGTGTACAAAACGAATTCAGAATCTGCAAGTGCGTCTGACAAAGTTGAGGACTCGGTATCGCAGTCTGGACAGACGCCGAGCTATGGAGATGGAAGGGTTCACTCGGGACTTGGCGGGACTGAAGCGACATCTGCAGAAGCTAGAGGTTATTCTCTACGGAAGAGGACTCACGGCGCAAGAACGACAAGTTCTACGATATGGCAAGTCTCGTTTGCATGGGGAAATTATTTGTGTGCTGTCAGGACTAACTGTGCGAATACTTTGCTGCGAATGTTGTAGATGAAAACTATGCGTTGGACTCTAACGAACTTAGCGAAGAAATTGCAGCTTTGCAGAGACGATTAATGGATCTGTCGGCTGACTTGGCGGAAGCATGACAAGATTCGATCAAATAAAGGGGGCTGCTTCTTGCTATTAATAATTCGAGAAACAGACGTGAGAACGCACAAATCCTCTCTCAGTTTTATCAGTGAAGTCGTGTCCATGACCACCTGAGTCTTCAGGAATTTTTAGTTTGCTTCCGGATGTCAGACAGCACCACAGGAGACGCGAACTATTGCCATCGTTGCAGACTAGAGTCGGCAGTTCTAGCAGCACGCCGCTCCGCAATTTTTTGTCGCTCTACGACCAATTGCAGAGGGTGCTCATGGACTACATCAGTATGTCGTACATACATGATTTTTAAACTGTTTGGTATTTAGGTAGTTTTCCGACATTTTATGGACCACTGACTACTACATAGTACGTAATCTTACCGCGTTTCGCCAATGAACTAAGCGACCGTCGCACAGCACTCTTCAAGGACAGGTTTTGTGCCCTGCAGCTAGGGAGGTGTTGTACGCAACCACCAGAGGTCTGTCCAACCACAACCAATGCACACCAGCTAAGCGCCACTCTACTGTAAATCTCCTACTGCTTGCTCCTCCGAGACGAGTTCGATTCGTTGCGAATAGAGCTCAGATTGACGCCCCACAGCGCCATCAATGCAATAGGAAACGCCAGCCACATCAGCGTCGCTCCCTGCGTCGGCAACTTTGAGTTGGCTGCTCGAAATTTCTTCCTCTCCGCGAGATTCGTCGCCCTCCGCCCGATAGCAGCAGGGGCGACATGCGATCGCTGTCTGTGGTACTGAGCCGTAGTGAAGCGTTCGTACTCGTTCAGTCCTCCAAACATTTGATGAACATCCTCCGAACTCATGGGTTTGTAGTTGTCTGCCCCCACAACCACTCGGTCGTGATAGTTCGGAGCAGCTGAGACGCCAAACATCTCGATGTCATACTTGACACGCGCCGTGTCGTCGCTCAGCAGGTCGTAGGCGGCGTTGACACGCAAAATCTCCGCGTCCTGCAGTTAGAATCACAGTTTGTCGGTCTTCGTTCATGACATACCGCAGCATACTATGCGAATAACACGTCACCTTGCCATCTTTTCGTCGAGCGGAGCCTTTGGTCTTAGCGTGGTAGCGATCGGGGTGATGCTCAAGCACTAAGTCCATGCAATAAACAGGTCAAAAGAGAGCAGCAGTATCGGAGCAAGCGCCACGCACCGAGCTTGCGGTAGGCAGTTTTGATATCGTCGGTCGAGGCCGAGCGCTCCACGCCCAGCACCTCGTAGTAATTGGGCTGTAGGTGCTTCCTTTCCCGCGATGACATTGTCGACCAGAGAGCTCAATTTGTCAACTGCCGGCTATCTAGAGGCTCCACCATTTTGTGATTTGAGTCAGTTTTGGTTGTACTATTTTTACATACTTTCTGAGATGGAGACCTAAATGCTGACTTCAAACTCGCTCAATGCACTGCTTCAAGCGCAGTGACAGTCGAGGACGGAGCTGGGAAACTTTTGTGTTACCCCCCCGGATTCCTGGGCCAGGAATATCAAGACCCGCAAATCGTAAGCGGGAAAGGGGATTTCAGGTTGGCAACTACACGCGGAATTCTTGCTGCGGAGGGTCATCCAAGTGGCGCTGTCACATCACACCCACCACCATCAGCCTCTCAGCTAATCTCCATTAAGAAGCCTTACGAACCTTGAGGTAAAACTCCAATTGGTCTTTTGTCACGGTCGTCGAGTCTTCTGACGATGCAAACTGCAATAAATATGGAAAACAACGTCAGCAAAGCGTCGAGCCAGATTTAGTCCTTCACAAAATAACACACCGAGAAGCGTCCGTTCTGGCTGGTAGAGCTGGTTGAAGACTGCGTATCGTCTGAGGGAGGCTCTCGGTACTTCTCGTGGTTGTCCATGCGAGCCCACATCATCAGCTGCTTCTGAAACGCGCTATAGTGTCACCCACATTATGAGTCAGCCAGCACTAAATATAAAAAAAAGGATTTTCACCCTTGTCAGTACACTTACATAGTTGACTCTTCACTGTCTTCTCGGACAGTGTCGAACCCCTGGGTCTGCAGAGGACGTCGGTACGGCTGCTTCGACGGCACTGGAAGTCTATTAGCCCGGCCGAACAGCGGACGCGAACCTCTTGGAATAAATATGATCTAGAAGTTCGGTTTAGAAGTGCAGAAAGGTGAAGTACCAGTGAATCGGCCATCTCCAAGAAGGTCAAGAAGCCAGCCAAGCAGCAACTTGTGCACTTACCTTCATCTCGTCAAAGTTTTCATCCTCCACGCAGTACACGTTGACTGCAACACAGTCGGGCTGAGTGTGGTCGAACTGGAAGATGTGAATACCTGTTATGTCATCCAATCCAGGCAAGTTCAGTCTCTGAAAAGTAGCCATCTCGTCGTCTGGTGAGTTACACTGTTGCCAAAGCCAAAACTTACCGCATTGCGCGCAAAAGACATGCTGGCACGACGTGGCTTGGCTTTCATACAGCGAGACATCCGACGACTCCATCATCTCGAAGCAGGACGTCGGGACGATCTGCCAGTAATAACGATCGCCACTGTCAACACCTCCATGTTCTAACTCCCATCTCTGTTGCCACTCACCAAGAACGGAAACCTTCCTTTCTTGCATGAAAACGTGTTGCTGTCGTCGAACGCTTCCACTCGCTTGGGTGCAAGAACCATAAATCTGTTGGCACCACCGAAACTAAGTATCTTTCCCTTTCCAGTGGCAGTTCATCTCAAATTCTCACCTCAGTGACCCACAGTCGCAACTTCCTCGGTGTTGAAACAGTGGCAACTTTGGCATTCCGTACTTCTTCCTGCAGTCATATCGACACAGAAATAAAAGGAAAATCGTCAAGTCCCCAAGATCGGACTGCCTTGTAGTCAAGTTCAATAGCCCCACGCACTGATAGTAGACATCCTTGCCGCCGCCATCTAAGTCACAACGCTCCCACTTGCCCTGTTTGTATCGTACACTTCGATAAAACTCGCGTAGCTACCCAAAATCGCATCAAAACTGGTCAGGGCAATCTCCATTCCAATGGATTTGCCAATCCGCGATCCACCCCTACCACGAGCAGCCCCACGCCCAGTACCAGTGTGGATAGCGCGCCGATCGCGCGGTCCACCTCGCGCACCATGCCGTTGGCCATAGTCGGCAGCCACAGACAGGGACAGAACCGATCGATCCTAGTCACGTACGAGCCTCGCCTGTTCGCTTTGGAAACTGTCGGGAAACACTTATTTATTTCCTCGCACTTAGTGCAGAATCACCAAAATGGTGGCACCATTTTTCGTCCATTCGCCAATTGGTATGGGGTTTCTTTCGCGGCAAAAGTGGGGACCAGATTCAAGGCAACAAGGAATGCATGTCGATAATACGGCTCTCTACTTACGAATGGATACATCAAGACTTTTATCTGGGTTGCGGTTTCTGGAGATCCGTGGCGGAATCTCTGAACGATTTGGAGTCGAAGAGCGAGTGATTGTTTGTTGAGCTGTCGATGACCAGCTCAAATGGGGCAGCGCTGGCGTTCTCGCACCCCGTAGGGGTCAGGATACCTGAACTCTCGTCCGAGTCCATGCCTCTCGTGTCGGCCGCAGTCTCGGCAGACTTGTCCGAGACGCGCTGTAGGTGGCGAGAGTACCAGAGTAGGAAGTAAAACACAGCAGCGGTGCCTAGGAACAGCATGAGGGTGGCCACAGGCGACGCAGTCGAGTGGAAGTTAAACAGATCATTGCTTGGTTGGTGTCCGCTGACAACCCACAAATACTGGATGAAGACCCAGAAGACTGGCCACATGAGCACCAGAAATACGTGGTTGGCTTTGAACAGCGGCGCTGTGAAGTAGAAGTCCACGCTTACGATAACGAGCTGTATCACGGCACCGAACACATGCAGACCGGGCAATGAAATGCCCGAGTGCGGTAGTGTCACCACCCTGCATTGAAGGCGAGCATGAGCAATTAGTGCTACTAGTAGTAATATCAACGACGGAGACAAGGGCATACCAGAAGAAGATGAAGGACACGACGGTACAGGTGGTGGAACCTTCGAAGAAAACCCAATCGAGGATCTCCCATGAGCATGCTGATGGCCGTCGGTAGTGCAGTAGAATGCGAGGCCCGTTAAAGGTGGGTTGGTACAGATGAACAGCCGCAATCTACAACATAGTACAGTTTAAGCATATTTAGAGTCCCGCGAGTTCCAAGCGGCAAAATTCGTTCTCGTTAGATTTCTCGTACCCACATCGCGATGACAGAATATAACGCCGACATTGGACCGAACAGCATCAGCGGTGGTGTTTTCTCTCGGCCATCACTAAAGAAGCCTTCCCATGCCAAGCACAAGCACTGGAAGAAGACACTGCAGGTAAATCTAAGAAATCAAACTCACGTTACTACTTAAATATCATTCCAATCTGTGCAGGACAAAAACGTACATTCCGAGTGCGCCCATGAGCTTCCATCCGACGCGCTGGTTTCGCGAAAAGTGTGACAGCTTCGTGTGTCTTGTCGTGTGGTATGGGCTTTTTCCTTTAAAGAAGTTAAAACAGTCGTCCCAGGCGTCCAAACAGTCGGCAGACGCCATGGCGGAAGGTTAGGATTGTGTATAGAGGCTTCGTTCTCGCTGGTCGATGCAAGGCACGTGTGAGAGCTTCGACAACTACCGGTAAACTTGTACGACAATAAAATTGGAAGTGAAGTTGTGGCACTCGTCTGTCAAAGACGCTTTGCGATTTTTTACCAATCATCGGCTGTCAAAGCGGCTGTACATGTACACACAGTTTTTATGGGGTAAGAAATAACCCGTTCTGGCATTTGTTACTTTCCATTAAATGGAAAGTAACAAATGCCAGAACGGTGGTACAAATTTTGTTGCGTTATGCACGGAGCAGTCAGGCGTGGAGCTTCCTTTTGATCGATTGCTTCCTGTAATTCCTCTAATGTGTTCTTCTAGAAACGCCGTTGGTTCTTGGAACGAAAAGCGGTTGACCCATGAAAAAAGGTTATCTGGGTATCCTACTCGAAGGTAAAGCCAAAGGCGAAGGTGCTCGCACCACTTGTTGTCGCTGTAGAATCGGATGATGCGGTAGGAGACGTTTTCTTTTCGTTGTTCTCACCGTGAATAAGCAATTCCCACTTGGATTTCCGGTGCTTACGCTCAAACTCATCCTTGAGCTCCTTGTCCACCTTGGCGAAGAGTTCAGGAGCATGTTTCGCCATCACCTTTCGGAACATTCCACCGAGGTGGGGGCGCTGTTCCATTGGGCATCCGGAAACCTGCTCCGGTTTATCTGTTAAGAACTCCAACACACTCTTCACGTTGCTGGAGCTCACAAAGTTTTGCGTCATGGCAACGCTTTCGTCGATGTTTAGCACGGTGTGCCACCAGCCATGGGGCACGAACATTGTCTCGCCCTCTCGACAGATACCTTCCAGCGGTTTGAGGTGGGCAGGAAGCTTCTGCACGTCCTTGTAGAAGGTCACAAACCATTCCATGAGTGACACGGGCGAAGATACTTCGCTGCCATCCTCACTGGGGTGAATCCCAGGCGGTACTTGGCCTGGAGGGAACATGATCCACTTCTTAGATCCTCGGATAACGCCGTTCCACGCGTTCGTCGCGTTCGGATCAATGTGGAAACTGGAGCCAGATTTCTTAGGGCCAATGATTAGCCAACGGTAGTCTGGTCGCGTATCCTCGCCAAGTAGAGCAAAGTAGTCTTCCTGAAAGTACTCCGGTACATTGTAGTCCTTAGCCAGCTGCGGCACCTTCGCAGCAAACTCCTTGTCGAATACAAACAACGGCTGATCGTCCAATAGTGTGCGGCAGTACTTAAAATACTTATCCATTGAGAACTGGAATCCACCAGCATAGAACGTCTTGCCCTTGCAAACTTCTCCCAGATATTCATCCGTCCACTTGCTCAACGCCGCCCAGTCACCAATAGCATCGGTGATAATAACAGGCACGTTAGGACCTTCAAAGTCTCTCTTAAAATCCTCCACGGTCATGTCCTTTGCACTGCGACGCTCAATATTCTCCACTGCCAGCCATGCCTCTTCAATCGGCGCAGCAGAGCAGTAGAATGACTGGAATAACAGGTCGGAATACACCCCCTGCACACGAATAGGAGCTTTCATCTGCATCTTGTCTCCGTACTTAGTCTTAAGATACGTGGCTTTCCACGTCGGCTTGGGTTCGAAATGTCCCTCCATCTCTTCGAGCACCAGCACTCGCCACAGTTCGTCGTGTGTTCCATACACGTACGCGGCACGACTACAGACTGCAAGCTTTGCCAGGTCTGCGGCCGAGCAGTAATTTAGGAGCGAAAGTAGCTGGCTATCCTGCATCATCGCCAGACGACCCAGACCTGCCGCGCGGCACTCTTTGATACCATGGACGGCATCCTCAAAGTAGTTGCCAATGGGCTTCACGCCCAGCGGGTGTTCCAGTCGCGCGGGTGGGATGCAGGCAGATCTATCGTCGACATCGGCATCCGGTGATATTTTCACCTTCTTCACCAATCGACTGGCAATTGCATCGCCAGTATCGCGGTGTGCCTGTTCCGCTTTCGTCGTCATGGTGCCAATGCCGAATGGCATTTTCGACCGCCACTCAGCTATTGCACTTCTTTAACGTTTGAAAAACAATCGTTTCAGCCAATCAACTGGGTTCAATGCGAGGAAAAGCGGCCAATCAGCAAAACGCTTTGAAGTTGAAGTGATGACAAAAGACTTCAAGTATTTGAAAACCTAATGCTACGTCCGCCTTGGGATCCATACGGGGTTAGTACTCCACATTCTTCTCATCGAAGTCCTCATCGTCACCTTCGGCCGTCTCAGCAGAAACCTCCTCGTAGTCTTTCTCCAGAGCAGCAAGATCCTCACGAGCCTCCGAGAACTCGCCTTCCTCCATACCTTCGCCCACGAACCAGTGCACGAACGCACGCTTGGCATACATCAGGTCGAACTTGTGGTCGATGCGAGAGAACACCTCAGCAATGGCGCTGGTGTTGGAGATCATGGCCACAGCACGCTGCACACGGGCCAAGTCACCACCAGGCACAGCCGTCGGAGGCTGGTAGTTGATGCCACACTTGAAACCCGTAGGGCACCAGTCCACGAACTGGATGGTGCGCTTGGTCTTGATGGTGGCCACAGCTGCATTCACGTCCTTGGGAACGACGTCACCACGGTACATGAGGCACGTGGCCATGTACTTGCCGTGTCGAGGGTCGCACTTGGCCATCATGGATGCAGGCTCGAACGCGCTGTTGGTGATCTCCGCCACCGACAGCTGCTCGTGGAAGGCCTTCTCAGCCGAGATGACGGGGGCATACGAGCTGAGCATGAAGTGGATACGTGGGTACGGCACCAGGTTCGTCTGGAACTCGGTGATGTCCACGTTCAACGAGCCGTCGAAACGGAGCGACGTGGTCAAGGAGGAAATCACTTGTGCGATCAGCCGGTTGAGGTTCGTGTAGGAAGGCCGCTCGACGCCCAGAGAGCGGCGGCAAATGTCGTAGATGGCCTCGTTGTCCAACATCACGGCCACATCCGTGTGCTCAAGAAGCGTGTGTGTCGAAAGCACGGAGTTGTATGGCTCTACGATAGCTGAGGACAGCAGCGGTGACGGGTAGATGGTGAAGCCGAGCTTGGACTTGCGGCCGTAGTCGACTGAAAGGCGCTCGAGCAGAAGTGACCCGAATCCTGATCCGGTGCCCCCTCCTACAGCGTTGAACACCATGAAACCTTGCAGGCCGGTGCAAGAATCCGCCAGCTTCCGAATGCGATCAAGCACGTGGTCCACGACCTCCTTGCCGATCGTGTAGTGACCACGCGCGTAGTTGTTGGCCGCGTCCTCTTTGCCTGAAATGATCTGCTCTGGGTGGTACAGCTGCCGGTATGAGCCCGTGCGAATTTCATCACACACCGTTGGCTCTAGATCGACGAAAACGGCGCGCGGCACGTGCTTGCCTGATCCAGTCTCGGAGAAGAAGGTGGAGAACGAGTCGTCTCCCCTGGCGACGGAGTTGCTGGGGATCTGACCATCGGGTTGGATGCCGTGCTCCAGGCAGTAAAGCTCCCAGCAGGCGTTGCCAACCTGGATGCCGCCTTGGCCTAGGTGAATGGAGAGAATTTCCCGCATGTTGAAGGTACCGAGAAAAACTGGTTTGACGTGCTTGTAGTCAAGATAGACAATTGGACAATGAGTCAATGCTGAAGCAGAAACTTGGATCAATCGTGGTAACGGTGAGCTATTCAACTTATGAGTAATCATAAGGTAATGCAGGTCGAGTCATAGAGTTTTCTTCATTGGCAGGGCCGGGAACTATTTCTTAGATCGAAGAAAAGAGGTTCAACTGGACCACATTCATTCTGCATAGACGTCGGCATCTGGGCGAGGACGCGCTGTAATCGTATTAATAAAAGCAGACTCGACCACGAATACAACCTCCTTGCGCTTTGGCTAAGTTTGGTACTTTACTCAGGGCGCGAGGCGATTTGCTTCAAGATAGCCTAAACGTTCATGTATGCTGTATCGAGATGAGACAGCTTTTGCGTCTAATTCGGACTAGACTAACCGCCTGTATCTGCTACTGCATGTGAGAAATCATACCTGCTGCGCCCCCAAGTGCAATGCACTATGCATCTATAAAAGCTTGGCAAACATACCCAACACTTGCTGCAGCGCGTAGCGCAACTTAACAAGTTGATACCGAACATATACTGTACCGGCCATTATTTAGGTCGAAACTGTACTTGCCGTAATTTATAAGGAAGAGCAAAGAAAATCGCACGACCGACCAGGGCGGCGGAAAGGGTGTCATTTTCAATTCTGAAAATGACGGTTCTAATTGAAGGAGCTAAGGTACGATTTTTTTTTTAGCTTTGTCTGCCTCGCATAAGTGAGAAGGACAGAAATGATGAAAGAAACTTTTGATATGCCCTTGGCTCGCAGAGGGGCTTTTAGAACAGGGTTAATTCAAGACTGGTATTTCTGTTAGTTTGTGTTGTGTCTTGTCTCCGACTGGGACAAGAGCCTAGACAGAAAGAATAGAAAATAAAGTGCAACTTCAGCTCAAGCTGCAATGGCGGTCAGCATCCTCAGGCCGACGCCCTTGTCACTCGCCTTCATGCTGACTGCTCATTAGCACGGAAACACTCGACGAATGTTCACTCGCTGCTGCGTTGGTCTTTGGTCCAGGGTAATAGCGCCATTGTCGTGCACCGCAACAATGGTGAATGGCGCGTTAGCCACATTCCGGTGTTTGTTCTTTCTGTCTTTGGCTGGAATGCGAACCATCACGTGGTCGCCTACTTGGTAGAAGTGCTGTAGTCTTGTATAGTTTGCACGGTCATTCTCTTGTAGAATAGCATCAAAGCGTTTCTTGCACAAGTAGTTCCAATTTGCTTCATAGAGCTTGCGAGTAATCAGATCTTGCCCAAATATCATGTTTGCAGGAGTAGTTCCCAGAATAGTGTGGTAGCTTGCACGTGCTGAAAATGCAGCATACTGAAGTACTTTGCGCCAATCCGCCTCTGGGCTGCATCTGATGCAATTATTCAGCACCAAATGTACACGTTCACAGATAGCGTTCGCTTGTGGATATTTGGCCGAGATCGCTTTCGGCTTGATACTGTAGCTAGCTAACATCTCTCTGAACTCGCTTGTATTGAACTCATTTCCCCTGTCAAAAATCACCGTTTTCGGACGTGGATATCGACACATCCATGTCGTATCAAAGTTTATCGCTGTTATCCTTCCTTTACTATCTGTCTGGATGGAAACCTCCAGCCAACGAGCTGCTTCATCGATTACAGATGGGGCATACTGATGTTCAGCTCCATAGGGACCCATTGTGTCGACATGCACTACGTCGAACGGATCAACCATGTTCAGGTCTCTTGGAGGGAGTTTGCCATATGCTTGTGGTCCTCCATGCAGTTTAGCTCTCTTGCACGTGATGCACTTCTTGCAGTACGTTATGATTGTCCTCTCCATGCCCGACCAGTAGAAATTAGCCCGCATGGTATGGAATTGTCGTTTTGATCCGGGGTGCAGCAAGTTCAGATGATACCAATCAACAAGTTCTTCGCGCATTGCATTTGGGATTACCACACGTTTCTGGTACGTAAGGAGTCTCGCCCCCATGGTGTGCTCAACCCGGTAGTCCGGGTCACTCGTGCCATTCACACACTTTTGTAACAGCTCCTGTACCATCTTGTCTGTACTCTGGAACTGTTTAATATAATCTCCTTCCAACACACATTCGCCTTGTTCGCTGAACAGTGCTTATGCTAAGTTGTGACCGTTTTCGTTGGACACGGACGTGCACTCCATGCGTGAAAACGCATCTGCAGCAATGTTCGATTTTCCTCGTACATATTCACATGTCAACCGGTACTCTGACAGTAGGAGTTTCCACCTTTTTACTCTTAGCGAATTCTCTGTAGGAAAGATCAAGTTTTTGTGATCCGTGTGCACCACCACCGGGAATCCTAGGAGTATTGTTCTGTACTCTTTTAAGATCTCCACAACTGATAGTAGCTCGAGCTCCGTCGTGGTGTAATTCCTCTGTGCCTCCGTAAGTGTTCTCGAAAAGCACGCAATCAACTTACCATCCTGCTGAATCAAATCACCTAATTGCTTACCACTCGCATCCGCGTAGATGTCAAAAGGTTTTGAAAAGTCAGGAAATGATAGAAGTACTGCTTCGGCTAGTGCTTTCTTGATTCCTTCGAATGCTTCATTCTCTGTCGAAGTCCAAACAAAATTTAGCTTTTGGCGACGTCATTCTCGTCAGTGGCTTCAACAATGCGGACTTGTGTGGAATCATCTCCCTGTAGTAATTAATCAGTCCTAAGAATCTTCTCAGCTCACGCTTTGTTCTCGGCGCTGTCAAGCGTGTTATCGCACTGATCTTCTTTTTTTGAGGCTGGATTCCATCCGCACTCAATGTAAAACCCAGGTAGTCCGCCGACTTACAAAAGATATGACACTTTTGGCCATTAAGAGTCACATTGTACTCTTTCAGACGTTTTAGTACCACCCGCAAATGCTCCACATGGTCCTTGGCTGTCTTCGAAAAGATCAGTATGTCATCTAGATACACGATGACAAAATCCAAGTCACCCAGGATCTTCATCATGCTGGCCTGGTACTCGTCCGGAGCCGTAGATATTCCCATCGGCAGTCTCTTGTATTGGAGCTTTCCCCATGGTGTACAAAAGGCGGTGTACTTTCGGCTTTCATTCGCTAATTGTCTAGCGTAATAGCCCATATTGGCGTCCAGTGACGAAAAGTACTTTGCTCCACCTAGTTTTGCTAAAACTTCTCGAATCAGCGGTACATAGTATGGATGTCTCTTCAAAAATCGATTAAGCGCTCGAAAATCAGTCAGCAACCGTAGTCTTCCGTCTGGCTTCTTTAAGAAGAAGGCAGGCGACGCCATCTCCGAGTCGAAGATTTGCTCAATCACATCGACTGTAATCAATCTGTGTATCTCCTTGCGAGCTGCATCTTCCTCACTCCTCGGTACTGAGTATGGTCTCGCATGAACCGGTGTGAGCGGCTCAACAATTGGTAAGACGTAATCCGGCAGCTTCATCTTGCCCAAATGCCCATTGTACAACATCTCAAAGCTAGCTAACAACTTCACGACCTCGTCGTACGTCTCTTGGTCGATGTCTGCATCGCCAATCAGGTCCATCGGTTTGACCGACGTATCGTTAATGTCCTTGACCTCGTTAAGTATCTCCACCTCCTTCAATTCTACAGGCAGGTGTCTTTTCGGCTTCTTGTCTGGTATCTCTTGATACGTCCCAGCATTACCCATATTCACGACCACGGAGTTTCCGTTCCACTCCACCTTGCCGTCTCTGAAGTTCACGATGATACCCAATGCGCTCAATAAATCGCGACCAATGACCATCGCGTCCTTGGTGTTCTCAATCACCTCAAACGGATGAGTGATGCGTGAGCCATAGTTAAGGTCCAAGAATCTGAACTTCACAGCCATAGTACCATCCGACTTGAGTTTACCGTCAACTTGTTCGAATGTCATGGTTGAAGGGGTCTTCTTGACTCCCAGCTGCTTATTAGCAGTCACGAGTGATGCGTTAATATAACTGGTAGTACATCCAGTGTCCAGTAGAGCTACTCTTTTCTCTTTCGTCTGCGAGAGCAGAATTCCCAGTCGCATTGGTCTACCAACGCTTTTAGACGCTTCATTCATCGCGCTGGTGATTTTTTTTTGCCTTCGCTCTCATCACTATAGTTGTAGTCCGACTCCGTGTCGTCCACCTTCGTCAGCTTTCGGTTCTCCGACTTCTTTGCCGCTGACTTCTGATTGAAGCTACTCTTGTCGTTCTTCTTCTGCGTAAAACACTCCTGGTCACTATGTGACGCTGTCTTATGCAGTTTGCATCACTTTCCACTTGGTTCTGCGTTGTTGCTCGACGACGCTTTGTTCGTGTGGTTATTATTCCACTTCTTATGACTACTATTCTTGCCATTGTAGTTGCCGTACTGCTTATTCGGCTTACTCGCCTTCGGCTTTCCTTTGTTCTCTTGTCCTTCGCGTCGCTCTGACTGCTGAAGGCGCTCGAAATACTGCACGGATTGCGGCATACTACTGAATGTGATACCACTGCACTCGTACGCATGTCTCCAATCTCTCGGCATCGCACGCTTGAAGTACCTGATCATTGACTTGTCGTCTAAGTTCATGGGGCTCGTTGGCAAGTCTCGAAGCATGCGAGCAATCTCTCTCATGCGCCGGTGACACTGTGACACTGTCTCACTACGCCGCTTGGCGAACATGAACAAGTCTTCTTCCAACTGCTCATTGTATGATTTGGGTACGTACGTCCGTCCCCACAACGCGTGCGCCTTCGTAAACTGTGCCACACTATTCATATCCTTATCCTCGGAAGCTGTTTGCCACGCCTCCAGTGCCTCATTCTCCAGTACCAACTGCAAATTTAGGTCCTTCTCTTCTGGTGCCCACTTTTTTAGCTGACACAGACATCCAAACTTGTGACTCCACTTAAGCCAATCTTGGGCTGTGCCTCCGCTGAAGCGAGGGAGTGAAATCTTCACGTACTCACGCTCGGTGTTGTACGTTGACTCCCGTGTTGTCACCTGGAATACCACGCCTTTGTCTGCGCGGTTCATCTCGTCCATGGTCTTGCTTGGTCTTCACCCGTTGTAGAAGTCCTACAACTTATTCTCTAGTTCCGTCCTTTACTTTGAACTAGTTCAAAGTGATATGCCCTTGGCTCGCAGAGGGACTTTTAGAACAGGGTTAATTTAAGACTGGTATTTCTGTTAGTTTGTGTTGTGTCTTGACTGGGACAAGAGCCTAGAAAGAAAGAAGCTGCAATGGCGGTTAGCATCCTCAGGCCGACGCCCTTGTCACTATTTTACTTAGTTGTTGACGTTGCCTCTTTGCTTAACGAAACGGGTTGATGGCAATTGAATAATAGCTCTGCGTTGCTTAACAGGCTTTATGCATTCGTTATTGATGCTAGGTTTGCCGTTTCAAGGCAGCGCTAGTCAAAGCTCTACTGGTTGCGTGTACAATAAGACCATCAGCGTGTTTTTGCGAGTCTTTAGCTCTGATGTTGTAGTTGTTGTTTCAGCCCTATTGAGGCTGATGATAAATAGTCTTCTATATAACGTATCTTCAAGTTATGTACCTTAAAGTCATCAGAAAACAAAAACACATTTCAGATCTTAGAACGAAGCCTTATCACGTGAAGCACTTGAAATGATGTCGTTCTCAGGTGTCGTGGGTCAGAGTTGCATTGTAAAGTGCTGCAAGTTAGTATGAAGAGGCTACTATTGTGAATCATAGGGATCTTGAAAATGCAAGTGGCTTTCAAAACAATTTTGATGACTTGAGAGTAGAAACTACCCAAGTTGCAATCAATTCCCCCACCAGCATCGCCTTATGGATACGAGCACCAACACGTTATTGGGAGGACTTCTTAAGTGAGGGTGAGGTGTATTGTCTTACTTGCCTGTTGGAGTGAGGACTTCTTAAGTGAGGGTGAGGTGTACTGTCTTACTTGCCTATTGGAGTGATCTCTAATAACATTCCTGGCCAACCCATAGTTATCGCTCAGGATTTCTTGGTGGAGTAACTAATTTGTGTTACTTTTTCCTGTCAAATTTGCCTACTTTGTCCGAAAAGAAGAGTGAGCACAGCGACTTGTGATGCTTAGCGTTTTGCGAGTCAATTTTCAATGAAAATGCCATGAATAGCATAATGATGAAGAAATCTTTTCATAAATTATGGTAGAGGGGCCTTTCTACAAATAAATTATTTACGGCATTCGTGATGTCGACGAAATAAATATATTTATGATTTCATTAGCAATTATTGACAAGACCATGCCATAATCCGGAGCCCTGATTGGCAAGAAACCCAGATAATGGCACTCTACGAACACGGTTGATAATTGTGCCGAGGTAGTCGAATCGCTCACTTTCTGGCTGCCTCTCTTCCCGTGACAGTCCGCAAGACACTAGCGCGTCGTGACCAGCAAGTCAAAAACGGCAATAAGGCTTATCCACGCTACCAATTGACATGTTTTTGATAAGGCTTGACCCTGGTTGAACCTACAGTAGCATTCATTCTTTAGGGGCGAAAGGGTGCAGCAGATGGACGATACGCAATGTCAATTGGTCAAAAAGCATCCCTCATGCCTTTCCATTCGTCAAAACTCCTTTTCAAACATTCAAACCTGCGCGCCACCACTCCCTTTCCCGCCTCTCCCTCATTCTCCAACTCGACTGCAAGCGCCCTCACAACGTTTCCAGTTGTCTCGGAACCACCAAGTTCTCAAGCCTAAGCTTAAAGCAACATGCGTGAAATTCTCTCCATTCACCTCGGCCAGGGCGGTATCCAGGTCGGAAACGCCTGCTGGGAGCTTTACTGCCTCGAGCACGGCATCCAGCCTGATGGCCAGATCCCCAGCGACTCGAGCGCCATGGGAGACGACTCGTTCTCCACCTTCTTCTCCGAAACAGGCTCGGGAAAGCACGTGCCGCGCGCCGTGTTCGTGGACCTGGAGCCTACTGTGTGTGACGAAGTCCGCACGGGCACCTACAGGCAGCTGTACCACCCGGAGCAGATCATCTCGGGCAAGGAAGATGCGGCCAACAACTACGCGCGTGGCCACTACACCATCGGGAAGGAGGTCGTCGACCTTGTGCTGGACCGCGTCCGTAAGCTGGCCGACGCTTGCACGGGACTTCAGGGCTTCATGGTGTTCAACGCCGTGGGTGGCGGTACCGGTTCCGGTCTTGGTTCGCTCCTCCTCGAGCGCCTGTCGGTCGACTACGGCCGTAAGAGCAAGCTCGGTTTTACCATCTACCCGTCGCCCCTCGTGTCGTCGGCTGTCGTGGAACCCTACAACTCGGTGCTGTCCACGCACTCGCTGCTTGAGCACACGGATGTGGCCGTGATGTTGGACAACGAGGCCATCTACGACATTTGCCGTCGCTCCCTCGACATTGAACGCCCGACGTACACGAACCTGAACCGTCTCATTGCTCAGGTCATCTCGTCGCTCACCACGTCGCTCCGTTTCGACGGCTCGTTGAACGTGGATATCACCGAGTTCCAGACGAACCTGGTGCCGTACCCGCGTATCCACTTCATGCTCAGCTCGTACGCCCCCGTCATCTCGGCCGAGAAGGCCTACCACGAGCAGCTGTCGGTGGCCGAGATCACTAACAGCGCCTTCGAGCCCACCTCAATGATGGCCAAGTGCGACCCTCGTCACGGCAAGTACATGGCCACGTGCCTCATGTACCGCGGTGACGTCGTTCCCAAGGACGTGAACGCCGCTGTGGCCACCATCAAGACCAAGCGCACCATCCAGTTCGTGGACTGGTGCCCTACGGGTTTCAAGTGCGGCATCAACTACCAACCTCCGACGGTTGTGCCTGGTGGTGACTTGGCCCGTGTGCAGCGTGCTGTGGCCATGATCTCCAACACCAGCGCCATCGCTGAGGTGTTCTCTCGCATCGACCACAAGTTCGACCTGATGTATGCCAAGCGTGCGTTCGTGCACTGGTTCGTGGGCGAAGGTATGGAGGAAGGCGAGTTCTCGGAGGCTCGTGAGGATCTTGCTGCTCTGGAGAAGGACTACGAGGAGGTGTCTGCTGAGACGGCCGAGGGTGACGATGAGGACTTCGATGAGAAGAATGAGGAGTACTAAGCATTTTGCGTGCTGCCATTGCATGGTGTCTAAGCCTAGCGAGGTGATAGGATGCTTGTCATTTCTATCCTCTGTTAGTTGAAAAGCTAGAGACCAGTTTGATAAGCTTTGAGGTAACAATTTGGTGCCACAACTTTCTATTCTCAGTGGTATGCGGGACGGTGTGTCCTTGGAGCTCGTCCCATAAATAACCTTGTCCACAGTTGGTCAAACCCATCATGCCCATTGCAGAGAACACAGGCACTTGGCCATTATGTTCGACGGGTATCTTGAGGACTATGAACATGCCCGAGAAGAGGCACTCAAGGCCATCGACGAGTATGCGCGCGCCTCCGATCCAAGTAAGCTGATGACTGCGTAACTATGTAGTCTGCAAGCAGCTCACAGTTTATCGCTGTAGCCAAGCGCGAGGAGCTCGTGGTGACTGCGAAAACTTGCGTTGACGAAGTCGAACGATTCGTACGAGACGATGTGTTCATTTAAACGGATTTTGTTGACCACACCTGACTTGTTTTGCGGTGACTTACGTCGGCAGATTCGCATTTTGGAGACTGAAGCGAAAAACGGCTCGACACCTGCAGCGAAGAGGAAGAGAATGGAACAAGTGCGCAACTGTCGAACCAAATGGACAACTTTGAAGAGCTCGCTGGAGAAGGAAATCTTGGTGGGCGACGCTCGTGTCGGAACATCGCCCGATTCCTGGAAGGATGCCAGCACGGTAATCCTCGCGTGAACCTTTGCAGAATCCTGGCTGGTAATTGATTTACCTCTTGTACATGATCTCGCGTAGTTAGAGCAAATGGAACGCTGCGCCGAACGCGTCGACAGGTTTGAGTTCTTTTAGTTTTTTATAATAATGGGTCAGTATCACTAACAGTGAGCTGCTTTATTTCTACATGATAGAAATGCTCGTCATTTGGATGAAGCGCAACGCACCCTGGCCCAAACGGAAGCAATCGGTACGAGTTTGTATGGACCTCAATGCTCTTTTAAATGTTTATATCATCGAATGATTATCTGAATTGCAGCGGAGAATGTCGGTAACAACTTGATGCAGCAGCGCAATCAACTGGAGCATACGGAGCTAAACGTACGTCGCTCTACACTATTGCTCCAGCGCAAACGAGCTGCAACTGATACATTGCTTCTGTTGCTTCGAAATAGGTCGCACAAACGCAAGAAGACACCGATGAAGCGAAGGGTCACATCCGATCCATGGCGTGCAAGGCATTGACCAGTCGAATTTTGCTGTTGCTGGTGATATTGGGCCTTGCTATCGCCATCGTGCTGGTTTCGTACTACAAGTGGTATCCGCGCAACAAGAAGGACTATTTGGGCATTTTGCCTGGGTCGGGTAACTCTACTTCCGGTAGCACTGGATAAACTGCTTGCAGTGAAAGAATTAGAAAATAAGGAGATAAGCAGGAACTGCATCACAACGAAAGCTTCATGAGGCTTTGTTCTTTTTTTTTTGGAGGGGGGGGGAGGTACATACTAAAGTACTGTAGTATTGGACATTTGCTAGACTCTTTTCTGATTTTTCATCCTAAAAATGCCTTCGAGGAGCGATCAAGCAGGATACTGGACCAATAACAGCGTATAAGGACAGCCTACAGGCGCTTGAAAAGCCTCGATCCAAAGCTGATACATGTTGAGCTAAGTTACACCAAGCAGCCGTAGTCCGGCGAGATTTGCAAGAACACGTCGTCAAAAAACCTTTCACTACTGTAGTCCACTTGGCTCGCGTGGGCCGTGAACTCCTCGTCCGCATCATTCAGAGACCGTACGTCGGCATACTTGGTCTCCGAAGGCAGGAAATCGAGATCTGCGCTGTCAAAGGCGCTGGGAGGGTAGTCTTCGACGAACGCCTTCTTGTGACTGGCGGGCGACGCCTTCATAATGAGGTCAGCAGCTTTGTCCGAACTCGACTTGGCCAAACTGTCAAAGTGGCCGTAGAACTGCTGTTGAGCGTAGTAGTTCTCGTTGAAGTCCTGCTCGGTCTTGAGACCTCTGTCGAAGAACGACAAATGGGCCGGCGGCAAGTGCATCACCTGGCTTCTACGGATACGGAGGTGGGCAGACCCGGCGGGGATGACGTCGCCCAGGGTCTTGGCATTCCCGTCGGTAGGGCTAACGGTGCAGTCGTAGAAGCCCAGTTCAGTGCCGAATCGCGGACTCTGTGACGCGAGCGAGTCGTTGTCGTTCTCGGACTCGGCGTCTTCGTCGTCGTCATCGCAGGCCAAGAGCTGTTGGTGTTGTGGCCCGAGACGGCCAGACGGATCCAGTCCGTAGGTCTCCGGGGCCATGAGTCTGTCCAATTGGCACTTGAATGTGGCATACTGCGCCTGTTGCTTGTCGCTGAGCGGCGCCTGTTCCTGGCAACGATTGAGCTCCTGCAGCGATCGCTTGAGGCTGCGCACCTTACGGTACGGCCAGTGACGAATACCGATGGCCCGGCAGCGTTTCTTGAAGGCTGTGGCACGGACTCCGAACTTTTCGGCCGCCACCTTGAGTGGCAAGTGGAAGTGCAGGCTGAAGGCCTCGAAGTTGCACGTCGGAGACATTGACAGGAAGGCGCTCTTCCTGGCCGCGTGGGCCCGCGCAGCGTGGCCATCGCTCATGACGGGGCTCTGCATGTACACGTCCTCGAGGCTGGAAACGAGTTGCAGATTCAGCGGCGCCAGAGATTCCGAATGCTGCAACATTGGCAAAGTTGGTTCTGGTATTTTTGCGATGGACTGTTATGGTTGTGAACGAGAGAGCTCAACTTTGGGAATGAGATCGATGCTGGCGACGGCAGAAAGATCGCAAAAAGCCAAAACACGCAAATTCCACGTTTCAATATGGAAGATTGTATGCCGCAATTTTCTGGAAAACAGGCGGAGCCTACAACAGCGGGCACGAAACGACGAAGGCTGAACTCACCGTTGCCAGGTGAGCCTGTGGCAACGTTCACTTTGTATGTTGTCACGGAATTTCTGGCTGCACTGCCAACGGATAAAAAGCAAGCACATGCAAGAAGAAGTGCGGCGTGGCAAGGTGAGTCCAGTGAAAGATGAAATTGCCTCATTAGCACGCTTGCGAGCATGAAGAGCGTTGCGCACCGTTTCGCACGCGCAGACGGTGATTTATAATTGCGATCTTGAAAGGACGTAAATAGTATCCGATAATTTGTCATTGATTTTGCCTCTGCCGGCCTTTTTGCTGGGAGTGCTTTGCCAGCAACAAAAGCTGCCTATAATTATTGTTGCCCAGACTGTGATGTCTTCTTTGCCTTTGCCTTCTTCGTAATTGTCACCCGTGGCAACATGAATCTACCGAATGAGCATTCATTCGGTGATCGAAATTCCGGCTATAAATCAACTTCAACATGTGCCAAAACTTTTGCAAGAGGCAACCCAAGTTGTGCTGTCTTGAACAATGTTCTCTGCTCGTGCTAAAAGCTACGTGGGGACACCTCGTTGATGGCACGCACTAGAGATATTCCCATTTCACGTTCGGCTGCAGCCACTACACTTTCGTTGCTTATTGCCTCTCCCTACCATCACTATAATTCGATACGTCCGAAAGCAACCTGGCAACTTCGTCTGGTGAAACGGCCTCCCCTGTGATAATCGGATCGCCTCGTTGCGAACAGGGAACGCCTTGGTCGTCAGCAAGTTCAGCAATTGCTCTTTCTCCAGCAGCTTCTCAACCAGTCGTTGCCTCTCGGAAGAGCTCATACGTCTCTCAGATTGTCGCCCGTGCTGAGGACTGCCTAGCAAACTGCCACTACTGTGTGACGGCATCACGAGTGGGAGCTGCGAGACGTGCACAATCTCACCGCGAATGTCTTGAACGCACTCTTTGATAACCATTTCAAGCTCCGTGTGGTTTTGCAACTCGAGTTTGTATGCTGTGCGCACCTGTTGCAAATTTCTTCTTTCCACCTCCAGCAACCGCTTCAACCGTTTGATTATTTCCTTGTACCGGTTGTCACTGTCCGATGCCATCGTCAGCGTCGTGACTCCCGCCGTATTAGGTCGCTGAGCCATTGCAAGACTAGTTGCTGAGTCTCGATAATGAACTTTCGGCAGGGAACTCGCGGAGGCGGTGGCAAACAGTGCCTGCGACTGGGAGTGATGATGGTTTTGTTGCTGTTGCGGTTGTCCTGACTCCCGTAGCTGATCTAACTGTTGGCGTAGGCCTTCAAGTTCCGTTCGCAGCGACACGTTGTCCTTCTTGACCGTCACAAGTTGCTTGACGAGAAATTCGCGATCGTTCTCTTGCGTGGAAAACTGCGTTTTTAACCGTTGGTTTTCTCGAGTCAAGCTCTGATTTAACCTATCGAGTCGATCCGCCAGTTCCTTCGTCCACTCTACTTCAGTCTCAAGCTGCTTGCTCTTCTCTATCCACGCAGACGCACCATCATCCGTCTTGTTTTTCTCCGATTCAAGCTCCTCCTGCACACTGTACAGTCGTGCTCGAAAAGCTCGCAGAAGATCTTTTTCTTGCTCTATTTTGGTTAGTTTCAGTAAAACAGGTCAGTTCCATGTCAAATAGTCATGATGCTTCACAAACTTGCCTTGCAGAATTTTGCTGGTTCGGTCCTGCACTTGGTCCACACTATCGAGAATACTCCGATGCATGGAGCGCACACGATCCATCGATGCATCCAACGTATTTTCCTTACTTTTCTTCGCGCGAGAATCTGAGAGCAGAGCCTCCAGCTCATTAATCCTAACCTTGTACTGCCGTTCTCGACGCACATAAGTCTCCTGCATTCACCACGTTCGCGTAAGAAAAGGTTTCAAACGCATGTAGTGTGCAGTCGACGCACTTACTTGTCTTCTGGCGAGCTCCTCGTTCATCTGAGTAACGATATCTTTCTGCTCGACGCCATTACCGTGCTCATCAAAAGATGGAACTGCTGAATTCTGCTCTGCGACGGCACTTAACCCCAAAATCTTGTTGCGGAACTTTGCCGTGCTGTCCTCGGGGCTGCCAGGCTGCGACGCACCATTAGCAAGACGAAATCTCTTCGCTTCAAAGCACAAAATGTACCTTTCGCCCTGCTGGCTTGACAGCTTTGTTGCCTCTCGCGGGCATGTAGATGCACTTGTCGTAGTGTACAATTACGCCAGCAGACAACAAACACACTTGTTGCCTCTGCACAGAATTTGCGTTGTTGCAAGTGTATTTTCAGGCACGTACTTGACTAAAAATATGTTGCCTAATAGTGAGTTCGATCACAACAGACAGCGTTTCGAGATGCACTCACACAATCTAGTCGCTGTATTACGACGGCGATACATTTATCGCACTGAGCCGCAGGGTGAATCTCTGCTGGCTGCAAAAGTGCTCACTCCATTTAGTTTTATCGCATCTGCAAGGGGTCTGTTGCCAGTTGGGTCTCCAGCACCTGCAACTCACGGTTCATCTTCGAGATCGCTGCGAGGTGGTGAGGGAGTGGCGACTGCCTCTCCATCGTGATCGGGTGCATCGTCAAGTACGATTGAGCGTGGAAATCTCTCAAGATGGCAGTCATCATACTGGGCGACGCTGATTCCGTCACTTCGCCGTCCTTGGATGCCGTGTCCTCCTCTAATAATATATGCACAAGTGCCACCTTGAGTACCCTCGTCTCCCGCTTCTGCGTCAATGTGTGTTGGCCGTGTAGTAACGTGGTGGTTTTCCATGCGTCGCTGCCTGTGAAATACAGAGCCCGGCTGCTATCACGTGCTGCCGTATTCTCTTGAGGAGATATGACAGCGAATCCGAGATTGTCGGACACGTACAGCGCCGTCGATGCCGGATCTTCACGCAGCTGCACCTCGTTGTACGACGCAGCCGTGAGTTGGACGAGCAACACGTACGACAGTAGCGGTCTATAAGCTACGGGGATCAACTCCTCCAACCGATTGGACCGTAGAAACTCCCATACTGACTGCTCCATGTCGTCCAGAGATGAGGATGATGAGGATGATGCACCACTCATGACCAGTCTTGTGATCACAAACACACTCTTGTCACCGAAAAGCGAAAGAAACTGCAACATCTTCCGCATCATCTCCAGCATTGCCTTCTCAAGTCCCTTTTCTTCTTGCCCGACTGCTATCATGTACGTCTCGAGAACTGAGCCAACCGCATCAGTGCAGCTACACGCGATCCACTTTCGATCTTCCGAGAGCAAGTACCCTCCGTACACGTATGGCTGCTCCGTCTCACCCTCCTGACTCACAATAGCCGTGTCTGTTCTCCAGTCTGCTAAGTGATACAACCTCTCGCACAAGAAACGTGATCGTCCAGCACTACTGGAACCTCCGTCGACTGGCTTGAGGTTCAGGTTCTCACACACACGATCGTACAGACCGAAGCACTTTGGCATCAACATGAACGGACTCGGGTTCACCTCCACTTCATACAGGTCGTCCAAGTACACCATCTCTATCGTCACGCTGTCTTTCCATCCACTGACTTCAGCGATGTCTTCTGTGCCAAATAACCCGCTTGAAAACGCTCCCAACGTCCACATTTTGTGCTTCACATCGCTTCGACGGAACGGCGCCACTAGGTACACCACATTACCCACCGCTGATCTGGAGAAGGCTTGTGTCTTTTTGATCGCACCAGACGATAGCACAGGGTTTAGCACCTTCCCAGCGGCACGGAAATTCGCAAACGGATCCTTCATACTCTCCGCGCAACCCACAAGTACTAGTCCGTTGGGAGCGTCCACTTTGGCGTAATGGTTTCCTTCCACTTGCGTCAAATCGACTGGAGCTAAATCGCCCATGCGACATTGCGCGTACATGCTGCGAAAGCACGTGAAGTACGAGAGCGCAAGCGACGCGAGCCACTGCGATGGAGACTGCGGACACACGATCACGTAGTCCACTGGTTTGGGCGCCGCTACTGGATGCAAATCGCGCAATAAATATTCCGATATGATAGCGGGTTCGACATGGTAGCTTGACTCCAGCGTGGACACACACACTTTCGGTTCCTCCACTTGGACACACTCTATTCTCCTGGCGTCGCTTGCCTTGGTCGGAGCTTGAGCGTAGTCCTCGAAGCTCATCCACCGTCGATCACGCCCAGTTTTTCTAACGTCACTTTCGTTCTTGTCCCCCTTTCGAAGGAGCAATATTAGACTCTGTAAATATGGCTGCACGCGATCGGCCACCTCGTTCTTCTCTGCCGAATTCGCTACAGAGGTCTGGAGATTTGAGTGTGCAGACCACGTTTTGATCCCGTTTGGCTCTTGTCGCCACGTCACCATCGCATCAGAGGCTGACATCTGAATCCCCATAGAAATCTCGGCGTCGCGTAACGTGAAGCAGTCCAAATGGCTCCATAACCTCAAGGATTCCTGGCATGCTTGCTCCTCAAATGCAGCTCCGTCAAAGTCGAGCAGCAGACGACGCTGGTGTTCTTTCTTCTGCTGCCGATCCTTCGGATACTGCAGCTTTGAGTACTCAGATCTCCAGTACTTGAAGCGGTCCGAGTACAGACGCAGACGCAGCTGCTCAACTGTTGCACGGTTTATTGAGAGTCGACCTACAGTGGCTCGAAGTGGGGGCGGAAAAAAGGCCTCTGCGTTCGGCAGGAGCTTGACTTTGGCCGACACACTAGTTGTCAACCGTTCCTCCATCACCTTGGCCTCATCGTCCACGTAGTCTTGGAGAGCCTGCAACAGAGGATGCGTCTTCACCGGTCGACCATCCAACGCCTCTTGTTGTTCGTCATGAGAGAGTGACTCCACCAGAGATACAGCCACACTCAGCGGCTTCGTGTCATGCTTGGGTCTGGTGACTGTCGGCTCCAATTTCGACAGAGAGGCCTTGGCCATGGAGAATAGCTGGGCAGGATTCAGCGCAGCTCCCTTCACGCCATTGCTACTGAGTGCCAAAGGTTCTGTCTTCATGCTCGGACCACTTCCATTGGATGTGACAGGCCCAAATGTCAGGGTAAACGCCGCTTCCTTGCCAGCCTTCACTTTGTAGCCTCTTCGCCGCCGTTTAAAGCGTCGAACTTCAGAGTCCACATGCAACTGCAGCTCGTCGTCATGAGGAAGCGTCATGCAAATGATCGGACCTGTTGCGTCGGGCGAATTAACGTGCGTGTCTGGAGACACTGGCGCAAAAGACTCGTCGCTCTCACTCGAGTCGGAGCTGTCGCGCTTTCGTTTGGCTTTGGAGGCTCCCGTAGCCACAGGTCGTCGCAACAACTCGTCTGATTCCACCTCCGTCTCCTGGTTGTTGTCCTCCTCCTCTTCCTCTGCGTCTTCTTCGTTCTCGTCCTTTTTCACCTCGTCTTCATGTCCACTGCCGTCACCGTCATCCTTTCTCCGCTTATGCCTACGCTTCGAGACTGCATGGAACCACGGAGACACGTCTGTATACTTGGTTTCAGCTACTATACGCGGCACCAAACCGTCCTTCAGATGCCACACATCCACCACGGAATGGTCTTTTTGTGACGGTAGACCCACAAGTCGTTCCCAAGAGCATCTCGTGTCTCCCAACTCGTCACCAAACGACGACAATGAGCCATCTCGTCTCACCACATCCACAGTCACAGTCAGTAAATGGCTCGGCTCAAACAACTGGAAATGCAGCTGAAAAGCTGGTACAGGGAGCTCCTCTTCAAGGTACACTTCCACGTGGTTCAGTCGAGTCAGCGATGGACAGCGGAAAATGAACTTGGCGTCATTGGGCTCGAAGAACCCACCCTCGGTGAGTACAAACTCCTCTTGGGCGACCAGTTTCTTGCTCAAAATTGAGTCTAAAGCAGCGAAAACCTGCTGCTGAATGTTTCTATCCAGAGACTCCTCATTGCCAGTCCAGGAGCCTGTGGACGTCTCACAGACGCCTGTAGGCGGCTCAGCAGGGACGGCACTTGGCATCCCGTTGACGATGAAGACCCAGAGCTCAGAGGAGGAGGAGGCAGCGTCCTGCTCCGTCCGTTGGTCCTCAGTGAGGACACACACCGCGTTGCGTTGCCGTAGACGTTGGTGGAAGATCGACAGGGCCGCGTCTTCGGCCTGTTTGGACCCGGATTTGGCCGCCTTTTTGGAGTTCGTTTTCTTCTTGCTCGTCTCTTCTACTGGTGCGACGCCGTACACGTGCCATTGCAGCGATACTAGTTCACACTGTGTGATTAATTATGAGAGATAAATTAGTACGTCATTCTCCGACGAAGCATAAAGTTAGAGGACCCGCCATCACTCTACGTACGAGGGCGAAGCAGTTGGTCGTGAGCGTCGGAGCAGACCGCACTCGCTCCATTTTGAGAAGCCTGGCGAGACGCGAAGGATTCTTCACACGCTCTGGACGTGGCAACACACTCTTCCACGCACTGTCACAAGCCCGAGGACACGCGCGCACACGGTGCTGGTATGAATTTTGGTAAGCGGGCGCGGATGCAAATAGTATCTACTTAAACAGGTTCCCAATTTAGTGTATGCTACATAATATATCAAGGCACTTCAACCACGGGCGACGCCAGCAATTTGCAGTTTACCAGTTCTGCCGACTAAAAGCAATGACACACAGTGCAGACCCACCCATGCTCGGTGTCGGTAGTGATGCTGTCCTCGCTGCCCTGGCCACTGTAGTGCGCAAACCCAAGCGCCAGCCCACGAATACGAAAAGCTCTGGTGCCACAGCAACTCAAGCATCTGCAACACCGAAGTTTCCGTTGAAGACTTTAGGCCCATCCGATACAGATGCGCCTTTGTTCAATACTGTAGTCCCAACTGTGCTTCTCAAGACGAGGAAATCCTCTGCGATCTCAGCACCCCTAAAGGTGACTAGGATGGGATCTCCATCCACTAAACGTCCACCTGGTGCAGCCTCACGGATGGTCGGTAGCGACAACGACGAGGAGCTTGCCACTCCCACCACTACGGTGCGAAAACTCAAATCGAAGACTGGAAATATTTCTATTCCAGGAGCTGCAACATTTCCGCTTGTCAGTGTCGGTCCGTTAGTTGCCGACACACCGATGCCTGACACCGATGCCATTGCAGTTGGAGCTAATACACTTGATGCTGAATCGCCCCATCCTTCGACGACTACGGATGATTCGTTGCTGGTATCGCCGCGCTCAGAGGCACACTCGCCATTTGCCGACACCAGTTTATCGATTGCGAAACTTGGTGCTGTCAGTCGATATAGCGTTAACACGAAGCTGAAGCAGTCCGCAGCGTCCATCGACCCCAGCTCGAATCCAATCGAAGTGCCCAACTTCGTGGACTTGACAGAGTCAATAGCAAGTCCTCAAGCCAAGCTGAACTCGCTCAAGCACCAGGAAATGGTCAAGTGTCCTCGGTACAATATCAATGTGTCACGGAAGTGGGAGGAGCACGACATGTCCAAGTGTACTGTACTAAACACAGTCGTCGAAGTGCTGCCGGACATTCGCTTCACCGATTCAGAAACGAGTTACCCGACAACTTTCAACCAAAATCGGACGGAGGTGAAGAAGCGAGCGAAGGGCTCTGTGGTCGACTTCTGGTTCAACGGCGACAGTCGAGGAGAAAATGAGCTCGTAAAGTACGTCAAGGACGCTACGAAGACGATCAAGATCGGGGTCGATATACTGCACCATGAGGGGATGATCAAGGAGCTAGGAGCCGCCGTGGGTCGAGGCGTTGTCGTCCAGGTCTTCATACATTTCAAGAAAGCTCGTGACGGAGGGCTTGCCTGGATCAAAGAGCTCCTGGAAGCCGGCGTCCAGGTGTGTCATAGCACGGAGAAGTTCGAGTGGAAACTCGCGCTTTTTGACGGTCAGATCCTGGTACAAGGCTCGCAAAGCTCCATGAACGATCCACAGGAATTCAACATGGATCACACAATGGTGCAGACCGGAGCAATCGGTGAGAATCGTGCTGTGCCTTGATGAGTGCTCCATTGTCCTCCTTGACGTTGTCTTGTCAGTGTCTGTATTTGAATGTCAGTTCGACAGGATGTGGAAGGTTGCAAGCCAGAAGACGACGAAGAGAGGGAAACGAGCAAGAGTTGCGGACTCAGAAGAGTCGGAGCCGGGTAAGAAGCGAAAGGCAGAGAAGAGGACATGCTTCCCTACAACCCTTTCGTTCTTGGAGATGCTAGGACTGTAGGTCGGGCATTTCGTAAACGTCTTGTACTAGCGTAAAGCACTTTTTTCTCGTGATTTTCACGTTGATTATCCCAAATGCAGCCGGCCGTCAACAAGCATGGACCTAACGCCCTTCACTTCCCTCACATTTGTGCGTGGCCCCCAATGCAGCTAAAGAGACCAAGCTACGCCTTCTGCATGGTCGCTTCGATCTCCTCGACTGTCCGTGGCACCTTGCTCATGCACTCGACGCCCGTAGCGGTAACTACAACATCCGACTCGATTCGGACTCCGCCCGTGCCACGGAAGCGAGACAACATCTCTTGGTTGACGAACTTGGCCGTCACAGGGTTGGCCAGCACTGCCTGGATCTGGGCCTCGATGAAGTAGCAGCCCGGCTCCACTGTCAGCACCATGTTCTTCTCCAAGTTTCGCACACAACGAAGCTTGGCCAGGATCTTCTTCGTGGAGCGCTCGTAGCCGATGGGGATGCCGCCAACGTCGTGCGTGTCCAGGCCCATCATGTGGCCCAGGCCATGAGGATAGAAGTAGGCCGAGATCTCGTGATCCATCAGTTCGTCCACTGTGCCATTCTGGAAGAGACCGTACTCCAGCAGATGCTGCGTCAGCACGCGGTGCGACAGCAAGTGCATGTCGACGTAACTAACGCCAGGCTTGATGGCCGCCATGACGGCGTCGTGGGCCTTGAGCACGCCTTCGTAGACCATGCGCTGATCAGCAGAGAACGCGCCATTCACTGGCCATGAGCATGTGATGTCCGAAGTGTAGCCATGTAGTTCTCCCCCCATGTCATTGAGGAACAGGTCACCATCTTCAAGAAGTTTGTCATTCGGTGCACCAGCGTGGCCATAGTGCAGAGCAGAGGCGTTGTGGCCACTACCGCAAATGCAAGTGTACGCATGGAAGCGAGCGCCTCCATTACTGTACACGTAATGCAGAAAGTCACTCTCGGCGTGGAACTCCATCTTGCCCGGACGGATGTTCTTCATCACGTTGATATGAGCGCGAGACGACAATTTGTTGACAAAGCGAAGCAGCTCCAGCTCCTTCTCCGTCTTAATCACACGGGATTCCACCAAAACGGGGTGTAGTGCCGTCTTGTCCACCTCGAACTTCTCGATGCCCTCAAAAGTCGACGTCGTGGTCGTTTCCAGGCCGCTGTCCGTGTTCTTGCCGTGCAGCACATACAGCTTCTTGGCCTTGAGCTTATCGGCCAACACGGCCGCTATCTCGTCCATGTAGAGGACCTCGTCCACCTTGTAGTGTGCCTTGAAGTAGGCCGGTGGCTTGCGGTCACCGCACCAGAGTTCCCACTCATCGCTCAGTCGGGGCACGAATAGCACGGCCTTGCGTGTCGTCAGGTCAACCAGACCCGCGCATCCCGGCTCGCGCACCCCAAAGAGATACTGGAAGAAGCTCTCCTGGTGGAAATTGTACTGGATGTCCGTATCATAGCGGTCCACCTCAACGCCGCCATGAAGGAGCATGGCGGCCGCGCTGCTCTTGGCATCCGGGTGCGTCTGCAAGAACTTGCGCACGACGTTCTGGCGGATCTGCACGTGCATGGAGAAGTCGATGGGGAAGAGCTCGTAGCCTTCGGCCGGGTCGGCCAGCACTTGTCCGTTTTGCACCATCGCCACGTGCGCATGGCCGTTGGCTGATCCGTTCATGGCCGCCGCGTTGGCGCTCGGCCTGCGCTGACCAATGCCCTTGCGGTTCTTGGGATCGTAAGCTGCCGCGCGTTTCTTCTGTAACAGGGCAATGGAGGCCATAGCCGCTGTGGCCGTGGCTGCGGCCAGCAGTCCGCTCACGTGCTCCGTACTCATGGGCGACGACTCAAGCTCGTTGATTAGGCCGTTATTATGGTGCGAAATTCGGTAAAACCTGAGAGTATCTACCGCATCTGACAGAAAAACTGTTTTTCTGTCAGATAAACAGTTTTAATCAGTACCAAAACTCTCCTTAAAATCGTCCAAAATCTGGACGAGTTTAAAAAATGTCAGTACAGTCGCACCTCGGGGTGGACCATATAGAGTCTACGAGCTGCGAATATTTATAGAGGAGCAGATGGAATCCAGATGTACTACTTTGTATTACCTTAATTAAGTACAAATCATCTTCGACACAATACCAGTGTGATTCCAACAGTTTCGTATGGTCATTGTCGATACGTCTTGCCAACCTTCTGAGCACCACTTCATCGCTGTATAAATATTGACGGGGGTATACGTCTCGCCTTTGTAAAACAGAGACAGTGTCCATGATGGCTCTGTGGCTGCCTTCCTGCACAATGTTTGCTTATTGGCGAGATTCAACGTAGAATAGGCGGACGGGCGACGTGCCATGGCCTTTTGCGACAAAATTTATAATAAGCTGTTGTATGGTGAAGTGATTGAGCTGATACATCGTGGCGGAAGTGCGGCGTTTCATCCCTCCTTGAGGTTATTTGGTCCAAAGGAGATGGGCAACTCATTTGCGCAATGCATGTGGCCCCATCATTAGATTGTGCAGGTTATTAAGCCATACCGGGGCCGAAAACGAGGTGCACGTGTCAACCGGTACAGACAACACCGGCTCTGTTCGATTAGGGCTCTATTTTCAGATCCAAACGAGTGGCTTAGTGAAACGTATACAAGGCTAAAAGGGTAAAAGCCCCCCCTGTTTGGCCGTAACGTTTTACATGTGGCTTACTTTGACAACACGCGTTGTGACGCGGTCACACAGCACCTTGCGCTAGAGGAAGTTAGCTTCCGAGAGTATACAAACTCTCAGTGAACGGCAGTTCACATCCTCTCTTTATCAAAAGAGAGCGAAGTGACCTGTTTAAGGTAGAATGTAAACTGAGTATATTTATAGGTAGATAAAGCTTGGGTTTTATACAAACTATTATGCACCTATTTAAATGCAATGTCACCAGACAATGGTTGGCTTTGGACGACCTTGGTACCTTGTACCAAATATCCCGGAGTGTGACGTGTCAGACTTCATGTAACCAGGGGTACACTTAGGGCTACGTAGCCCGTTACATCCTCCCCCACTTAGGTTCGGTTCACCGACCAATCAGAATGAAGAAGTGCTCGTCACAAACTTTCATTCTCAAAGTCGAAAACCATCGACTTGGCCGCGCGAGCGCGGCGGAGGATCACTTCAATGTTAGAGCCTCGAGCAGCAGTCTGTGCGCTCTTCTTCTTGGTCTCCACTTCAACCGTTATCCATGCCTCGTGGAACTGCAAAGAGCGGTGCGAAGACACGCGCCAAGGCTGCTGCCGGAAAGGCGCAAGCTAAGAGCTCTAAGCCTCACGGCAAAGGCTCTGCACCTCACGGCAAAGGCTCTGCACCTCAGGAGGCTACTAAGGTGGCCTCCGAGGCGATCGGTTCCTCGGGTGACGCGGCTGTGGGCAAGCGAGCAAGCAAGCGCCGCAGCCCGTCGCCCTCGGCCTCTCCAGACAACCGTCCGAACCCTTGTTTCATAGAACGTGAGTTCGACTCTGGCAGTGAGGATGAAGCCGAGTCCGAGAGCACGCACGATGCTCCTGCGGGCTCTGTGGAAGGGCACAGCCCAGTGCCTAGTGAGCACAAGGACAACAACGTGCAGTCGCTCGCTAGTGAACAAGGTGATCACAGTCCCAGGACGTCTGTGTGCTCTGAGAGCCCGGCCGTCAAGGCTAAGGGCACTCCCAAAGCTGGTGGCGACGAGGAAGAGAGCCCTCGCAAACGTCTCTCGCTTGCCGAGGGTCTTGCGCGTGCTAAGGCCTCTAAATCCGAAAGCGCCAAGCCATCTAAGAAGCGTACAGCTTCTAAGTCTCCACTCCGCGAGGAGAAGGAGACTCGGTACTCCCATCGGGGCCTCTTCGACTCATCGGATGAAGAGGAAGAAAAGGAGGAGGAAGATGAAGAGGGTGCTATCTCTGAGCACCGGGAGATCACGAATGACCTTGACCAGCAGCAGGAGGACTTCCAAGCTGCCCAGCGTGTGCGTGGGGGTTCGGTAGTGGCACCCGTCAGCCAGGGAGCTGCCATCAACTCGCGAGGGTATTGGCCTCCCAAGGAGAGCTCTGGGGCTGACATCTTCCTGGAGGTTCTCGTTGTTCCTCGTGGCCTTGTTGGCGGCCACACCTCTAGGGGTATCTACGAGCGTACGCTTGCTCAGAAAGAACAGTTGTTTGTTGACAACTTGGAGGCTGCTCGGTGTGTGCTTCTCGCGCCACACCGCATTCCTCTCAAGGACTTCACTACGTGTCGTAAGAAGCCCGAGAACCGGGGTGGTCTCTTCCCTCTTTGAAGCTACCCCTGGGTTCTACCCGAGAACTGTCCCACCTGGAGGTCTTGTGAGGGCATGTTCTGGGCTTGGGTTGAGTCTCTCAAGTACTCACCCACGGAGTTACGGGAACTCCATGAAGACCAGCTGTTGCCCCGCATCCTGGACCAGCGTGATCTTCGTGTTCGGTTTGCCCACATGGTCAGCAAGCGCATGCTGCCAAGGGACATCCTGAAGCGCGCAGCTTCTAGCGCTCATGATGAGCGCGGGTACGGAGTGTCTTCAACGTCCACACCCCGTTCGGGCAAGAAGCCCTGGACTACTTTTGAAGCTGCCGCCGCATCTGTTCCCAGATTGCGACAGCCTTCGAACAGTCAATCAGGAGCCGTTCAATTGGCTCCCACGAATTCTCGGAGTGGGCATAACCCCTCCACTTCACGAGGAACTGTCGCTTACCGCGACGCCGTTGCTCCTGGAGGATTCGCTATACGTGGAAGTGGACTTCTCCATTCCGGTCAAGCAGGGGCGGAGGTGCCCTCGTACGAGTATGAGTACTCGGCGCCTCCCGAACGCCACTCTCGACCGTGTCCTTCTCCTGCGGGTCCGACACAGGGCCCTGAACGTGTTCTCGTGCTTGAGATTGCACTTGGCCTTGGGACTGGCGAAAATGCTGCCGGCCAGGCCGGGAATCAGGGCGAGCTCGCTCGCCTTGCGGACCGCCTGGACCTATTGGAGCGTGAGGTCGCGAGCCTGCATCTACAGGTGGATCGCCGGGCCTTTTCGACCGATCTGGACGAGGCCTTCCGCATGATCCGACGGATCGAGGCTCTGTTGCCATGTCCGGAGCCACATTCGACGCACTCGCAGACGTACGCGTATGGTGCGTACCCGGCGTACTCAGCGAACTCGGTGTATGGCTCCGGGGTCCGTTGGTACGGAGCCCCACCCGCGTACGGTCTTGACCGCAGCTTTGCCGTCCAGACCGAGGCTTGGGCGCCTGCTTCGACGCCCTCGTCGACGTCTGTGACCGGCCCTCGCTTTGAGGAGCTGGACCAAGGTGGGCCTGCGAGTCAGCCACCCCCTGCGGATCAAAGTACCGCTTAAGACGTCCAACATAGAACGTCGGGTGCGTCGTCATTGACTTGGGCAGGTCGATGGTGTACGACGCACCATGTCTGGCCAGGACTGCAAATGGTCCGATGAAGCGGTGCTTCAGCTTGTTGCTGCCGACAGAGCTGGCAGTGTCAAGAGGTAGGTTCCTCGTGTCTAGTACACTAAGTCCCCTACTTTAAATACACTTAAGTTTCCTCTTCCATGTTTGTCCGAGTACTCCTTTTGTCTATCCTGGGCCGCTGCCATGACATCGCGGACCCTGCTGACAATGCTCAGCTTGGTATCCATAAAGGATTCCACTTGTTTCCGCAGCGAAACTGGTCTCACATCCGAGACCTGGGAGGAAAGGGCTTTCCGAGCCTCTCCCCCTCTTAGAATAGAGGCGTCAGTGTCTCCTCGACGAGTGAGAGGCACTCTGGGGTGACGGAAGCCGTTCGAGTAGAACGGCGTGAACCCCGTGGACGCGTGCACCGCGTTGTTGAGCGCAAACTCAACAGCTGGAAGCTGCGTCGACCACGTACGTGGTGCTGCTGCGCACACACTGCGCAGAGTGTCCTCGAGCACTCGATTGACACACTCTGTCTGGCCGTCTGCCTGTGGATAACCCGCAGTGGACATCTGCAGACGAGTTCCCAGTAAAGGAAACAGCGTTTTCCAAAACGCAGCCGTGAACCGCGGGTCTCGGTCCGAGACAATCGTCTCCGGGAGACCGTAATAGCGGAACACGCCATCGACGAACAGCCTTGCGGTTTGTTCGCCCGTAACAGTGACGGGAAGCGGAGCAAGATGTACTATTGTGCTTTCTACTCAAAACTTGACTGCCTGATTTATTAATCACCCGCGCTGAATGGCCTATGAAATCGTTCATCCTACCATACATCATACGGAGACATTACATGCGACAGGTTTCCACACACTGCATGGTCAGAGCAGAGCGCATCGGCAACGTTTCCCGTGTCAGCAAACGGTAATGGATCTCCGATCTAACGTCTCGCCTGGTAGCGCAAGAGGACCCCCACCAGCGGGTGCTGCATCAGCTGATGGTGCACGCTGTGGTGGTCGAACACGTATATCGCCACATTCGGCCCGTGTATCTCCATATCCTGAGCGTATTCGGACGCCAACGGAGACTACACCGCCCCACCCAGGTCCAATACGACGGCGTACACCTCCAGACCGAGAAGCACTGCCAGCGACCACGACTAGGGCATACTCAACCCCGGGTCCAGTGTCATCCGCAGCCTAACGAGCGTCACTTCTTGGAGCAGCAAGATCACCTGGTGAATCAGCTCAAGCTCGACCTTCTCCAGCCCCTGGTACAGCTAGACAGCCGCGGACTCCACGTTCCACACGACGTCGAACATTACCCCGAGCTGCATCTCCTGTTGGTCAACCTGAGCAGCAGATACCAGCATCCCCAGCTGACGCTACTTCGCATCAATATCAGCTTGTAGCTCAACCTAAGTTGCAGCTGGTGAGTTTTGACCAATCATACCTAAGTGTTGATTTTTCAGACTATCCGTCAATCACCCTCCGTATCCAATTTTCACTGGAATTGACAATATCTTGCTCAGCCGACACACGAACACCAAAATTCCGGTGTTGCCATGTTCGTCGGCGGGAAGCCCAAAGATGAAGTCAAGACTCATCGACTTCCA